GTAAACTGAAACATTTGGTTTTAATTTCACCGAACTATTATTATTTGACTTATTTGTTCTATCTTCTACAGTGATTGAGATAATGGGGCTTAGGATGCAAGTATCATGGTGTGCAGTACTGGGAAGAACTCCTGTTATGGGTATAAATTTTTACTGGGAACGTGTGAAATGTCTACATCGTTTTTTCCCTCAATTATTCATCTCCAAACTTTTCTGATATCTATCAGTTTATTAGTCCGCTTTGCCTTTTCCCCTCATGCCCCTCACTGGTCCTCTCAGGCCTGTCTGAAAGAAAATTTTGAACCGATAAACATGAGACGCCGTCGTTGCTGCTGCTATCGATCCTCCCCTCCCCATCTTACTTTTGCCTATTGCTTCTTCTTCTTCTTCTTCTACCTTCTACTCACCAGACTGTGCGCACAGGAAGAACTTTCTCACTCACTGTCTGTCACACTCCTCCTTTTTTACAGGAAGAGTGTCTCTTCTCGCTAACCTTTTTAAAAGTACTAAACAAACATAACTTGGGTTTTTATTCTTCTTGCTAATTCATTGATCTATTTTTCTCCTTCATTCGCAACTTCATCTAGCACATGTAGATAGTATAATTTTTAAAAAAATTAAGCTTTTTTCAAGTTCTTGAGTTCTGAAATTTTGAATTTCAGAACTTCAGAATTTCAGGATTTCAGAATTTCAGAAAATTCTAAGTTTCTAAAACTCTGCAACTATGAAGTTCTGAATTATGAATTTTTGAAATTTGGAATATTTGAAATTTGAACTTTTTCAAAAATTCAAAAATTCTAAAATTCAGAACTTCAGAATTCCAGAATTTTAGAATTACAAAATTTCCAGAAATTCAGAAATTCGGAAATTCAGAATTCCAGAAATTCAGCAATTCAGAAATTCAAAAATTCAGAAACTCAGAAATCCAGAAATTCAGAAATTCAGAAATTCAGAAATTCAGAAATTCAGAAATTCAGAAATTCAGAAATTCAGAAATTCAGAAATTCAGAAATTCGGAAATTCAGAAATTCAGAAATTCAGAAATTCAGAAATTCAAAAATTCAATTTTATAATTTCAGATGTTCTTTAGAATTGCAGTTTATTTTCAAAGATTTTAGAATTTCAGAATTTCAATATTTCAGAACATCAGAATTTTAGAATTTTGGAGTTGTTGAATTTCAGAATTTTTGAATTCCTGAATTTTTGAAATTCCACATTTTTAAAATTCTGCCATTCTAATATTCTGAAAATCTGAAATACTGAAATCCTTTAGAAATGTCGAAATCCATCCGTTTTAAAATTTTGACAACGTCAAACGACCGTATTGGTTTTAATAAAAGCTCTCCCCGTTTGTGCACTTTGAAATAAATTTTCTTGGTTTCTATGAGAGACACAAAAAATTCAACTGACAAAATATTTGAAATTATAAGATAAATAATTATCAGTTGAACATGTTTCGATATCTTTCGATGGAACTGAGATAATTAAGTTCAAAGCGCACGTATGAGTTGGGCTTGTTTTAGAGCAATTAAAATATGACGCTTTTCTTTACCAATGTTTTTCAGCCCTTGTTCGCAAAATGCTCAACGTACAGTCTGCGTATCGCATCACAATCGATGAAATCTTGTCTGACCCATGGTTCGTCGTTTTTATCGCTGGCGAGAAGAGTGGAACAGATCAAGAATAGGATGAAACAACGTGGACAGATGACTTGAACCATTTAATGTAAACATTTCCAGCTTTAAGTTTTTTCAACGCTTTCATCTCAAATTTTTTGAATTCTAAGCATTATCAGCCTGCTTCGAGTTGATTTCTAAAGTTTTTCAAGAACGGCATTCATGTATTCACATGATTACTAAAAAGTTTTTTTCTGGAATTAGCATTTTCTCAAAGGAAGAAAAGCTACCGAGCCGCAAAAGCTGTCACCAAGCTCAGAAAAAAATGGTGCAAAACATATTTTTTTCTAGATGTTCCCAAAATTAGGGATCTGATCTATGAATCTCCTATAACTATGTTACAATAAAAAGCTTGGAAAATTCGAATTCATATCAAAAACAAGATTTTTTAAAAACAGAGGAAGTTTTGCAGTACAATAGAAAACATGGAAATCAGACAAAAAATTATGAAAAAAGGATAATTCAAGAGGAACTGATTAATGAGTCAATTTCCTCACTCCCACTTGTTGAATCCATAGGCATCGGACAGGCGGTTTTGCAAGTTGGCAATTTCTAATTGATGCTCCATTTTATTCTGTGTCATATTGGCTCGGAGAGCTTTATTCTCCTCCATCAGCTTCTTGATGTTCTCCTCGTCAGCTTTAATTCGGCATTGGTACGTGTTCCGGAGTGCACTGTTGGATGCCTCAATATTCTGGATCTCAATGTCAGTATAGTCCAAATAAAGAGACATGCTTTCTCTCTGAATGTCCAACATTGCGCTAGCAGTGTTGAGAAAATTCTTGGTCACTGACAACTCTTGTAGAACTGCTTCCAATGATTTTTCAGTTTCTATTTGAGCTGTTGATTGTTTTTTCAGGTTTTCTGGAACCTTCGAATCGTCGTCAAAGTCTTCGGAGCAAGAAAAGTACTCGTCGTCAAATTCCTCCGTTTTCTTGGCAAATGTTTGAAATCGCTCGAACTTTCTTGCATACTTTTCCTTCAATTTCTTTTTTGTATTTTTCAAATCAGCTCGATGTTTCTCTCTTATCATTTTGAGTTCCTTTTTGTTCTCGAACTGAATATTATTAATCTCACAGTTTTTCTCCTTGATTTTTTTATAAAGTTGCCAAATCTTATCGCGGAGTTGATTGTTTTGATCTTGGAGATTGGTAATTTTCTTTTTCAATGACGCATCATCCCTTTCTGGAGCATTTTCATATTGACTTCCCTGAAGTAAAAAATTTAGATTTTCTGAAAATTGAAGGGGGACAAACCTGATATGTGACAATCAGCATCGCAATTTGCTGCTGTTGGCAGGCGATCTGTGTTTGATGACTAGCGTTTAATTTGTTAACTTCTGCCAGCTCCTTCTCTAGTTGTGACCTTTGTTTTTCTTTGCTCATGAAAGCATCCAGAAGAATTTTATGCTCCACGTCTTTTTGAGTTTCGGACTTGGAAAAATCGAATTGGTTTTCAGTATTTTTGATCCTTCTTCCGGTTTTACGCGCAGCCGCTTTGGCAGTTGGAGGAATATTATATATGTTCATCTGAAAAACAATGGAAATTACGGTTTGTGACAGTAGAAACGACAAAACGATAACAAAAGTAAATTCAGGAAAATAATATGAAGAATAGAAAACAAATAATAGAATTGATAGGAGAAGAAACGATGATGTTCTGTAATAACTAAGTGAATGGGTAAAACAACTGTCTCTAGAGCGCATCTTCACCCCAAACCAGGTAGAGTAGATTCAATAGGTTGGAAATAGTTAGTGGGAAAAAACGACCGGGTACGAGGAGACGTTATATGTTTATTGATAGACAAGGTGAAGGAGAGCTATTTATCTAATTATGGGAATGGGGAAAAAAAGGAATAGTGAATGAAGTTACGACTGGGTACCGTATACACTCTAATAAAAGGTCCGCTCATACTTGTACTTCAAGATTTTCAGAAAAGATAACAAAAAAACTGCCAACATTATTTTTCATAATATCACCAACATCTTGTTAGTTGAAATATTTTTGATCAAAATTGAGATAATTGAGCTCACAGTGAAGTATAGAGTGGGCTTCTATTATTAGAGCAGTTATGGTAAGTAATTTAGGGTTCATTAGAAGAGACCAAAAATAATAAATACTCTAGTAATGTAATTTTCGTAAACGAATAAAGATTTTGAGATATTCATATTTCGTACTTTTGAGAATTGGAGACTGCCAAGATATTAGATTTCTAATTTTAAAGATTCTCACTAATACTCTTGTCCGGCACCAATGAACCGTGTGGTTGAAAATTTATTTTAAAAACACATCTTTGGTCCTGAAGCGAAAACAGTGACGGTTCTTACAATTTTATGCGCCTTTTCTCTGTATTTCGAAATTTATTTATAGGCTAAAAAAACAATTTCAAAATACTGAACAAAAGACGAATGAATTTATCTGTAAAAGCCGTAGCTGCGTTTGCTTCAGGACCGACAATGCGCCTTTAAATGAGTATTTAACTATAACGTTCATCGACGTCGGAAAAGAATAATTACAGAATCGAATTCAGGATTTAAAGCAAATCAGTCAAAACATAAGTAAAGGGAACAGTAAAATGGTGGAAGGAAAGATGAGCTCATTTCAACATAACTGAGTAAATGAATAATACAACTGTCTCTAGGGCGTGTCTTTACCCCAAACCAGGTGGGATTGGATCACATCAATCTATGGGAAGTCTGTACGAAGAAACGACCGGGCACTCAAGACATTATATGTTTACTGATGGACAAGGTGAAGGAAAGCTATTCCACTAATTAAGGGAATGGGAAAAACGAATATCAATTGATATTATAATGGTACAGAAAGGAGTTGCATGGAAGTTGAAAATATGGGAATGAGTAATTTAGGGTCCATCCCAGATTTAGAAGAGATGAATGCAAAAAAAATAATCAAGATTCTAAAAACATAAATTTTGTAGATGAACGCATAATTTTTAACTTTTCAAGATTTTAAGTTTCATACTTGTGAGACCTTGAGATTTTGAGAATATCTGATTTTCCGTTTTCAAGATTTTCTCTTTCAGATGTTCTTTTTTTTTAATCTTTGATCCTGTGTTTCCGAAAACTTAAGCCTGCATTTTCTATATGTTGTTTGGTTCTTAACTTTTGAAAAATTTTTCCTAGGTTAATCTACCGTATAAGTTTTGATTAATTCTGAAAAATACTCGAGAACAAGATTTAGGAGATGAAACCACTTTTATGATTAATGGGACCGGGGGTATCTTTTTTGGACCGACAGTTCCAGCTTGAAACAACTATTCTCGGATCCTTAATTTATTGTTGTAAGTTTCTCATTTTATTTAGCAGTTGCGTTTCGATTCTGTTAGCAATTAAATCTTTGTGGAGAGCCTTCGACCGGTGAACCAGCACAAATATGGTATTTTTAAAACGAACTACGGTAGTCTTTCTTCGAGGAAAAATCAACACGTCATCTTTTCCCTTCTGGCAAATAATTCGGAGGGTACAAAACATTTTTAGGTCATTGGGGAACAAAGTGATTCAGGGGTGCGCAATTCTCAATTCAGGTTACAAAATAATCCTGAAATAATCCGAGATTTCTTCCCCCGAATTGTAGATTTTGTACCCTAGAATCACTTTATACCCCCTTGCACCCTCGAATTGTTGTACCCACCGATTTGTTTTGCCAAATAATCACACGTCATGTTTCCCCAAGATCAGTAATACCTTCATTCATCCCTTCAGTCGTTATTTATTTCAAAATTTACTTGCTAGTTGGAATGCTGAAATTTCAGGCTGTATGTTACTGCTACAAATTGCATATTTCCGTAATTACTATGATCATGGGATTTCAAAAACATTTTCAACGTCCATATATTTTTCTTGCATCATTTGTTTTTTATTTCTTGAATTCACACGAGTTGATTTTTTGCCTCCACCTTGCTCTTAATAAACATATAATGTTTTCTCACGCGCTCTCATTACTTCCACCCGAATAATCTGATTTAGTTGTATTCATAAACATTTTCTCTTCAAAAATTTGCAGAAAATTGTCTAAAAGAGTTTGAAAAAATATTGCATATAGATTTATTTATTCAAAAATCTTTTTCTCATTTAGAGTCGGAAAGTTACTTTCGAACTAAATTCTTTCAAGTATCAACACACACTTTTTAAGGATGAAATTCTTCAAAAATCGATAGAAAAAATACTTATTTCGTAATGCTTGCGAATATCGTTGAAGGCCCTGCCCGGATAGAATTTTTTGGTCGAAATTTATCTAAAAAAGTTTTCGGAAAAAAGTCAGCAAAATAATTATTTTTTAAATTTTCACTAACATTAAAAATCCAACATTTACAATTCAGCTTAAAGGAGGCCAGACACCAAAAAAAAAGTTTTCCTGGTATTTTGCATAGAGAACCCCCATGGGGGGTTGAACTCATGACAGGCAGCTCAGGGGTACAGCGCCGCTACCGGCTGAGCTACGGGGGCGCGAAGGCGCCTGACGATCAATGGTCTACATAAGCGCGGCGCGATTTCCTCCCCCGAACTGCCCCCGAAATTTTTGCTGTCTCGCCTCCTTTAAAATTAGATGATATACACAACTTTTTTCCAAAAAAAAAGCAAGCTATTTTAAATTTCGAAGCTGGCACCGACTGTCCGGGCCTTCCGGGCCGGGCCGGGCCTTGACCATCTTTTTGAAGACACGGCCCGTAGCAAGTATGAAGAGAATCATATTCCAAGAAAGGAATTATCCTTTAATTTTCACGTTTTTCTGATTTTCCTTTTGAAAGAAGACAAATTGTTGTTTGTTGTTCTTTATCTCGAAACTACATTTTTTGATACAAATGGCACGCTTGGACAGAGCAAGAATCCCATGGATTTTGAGAATATTTGGATCAAAAGTCATTTTCTCATTCTGATCAGTGCATTTTTCACGCTCTCATTTTCCTTTTGAAAAAAAATTCAGTTTATTTTTAGAGAGGAATTGATTTTCCGAAAAAAATTTCATGAATGTATCCTTTCTCTTTTTTATTCTTTCTTCATGCAACCTTGAAATATGATTGCAATAATTTAAAAAAAAATTCAGTTAAATATGTCTGGTGATCCTTCAATCTCCGAATCTGACAAATCCGATCGAAATCTCAGCAATGAGGAGTCTGAAAAATGCACCGATGGTCTTCAATCAGAATTACAAAAAGACGTAGAACTGAAAATTCTTCGCAACGCCTTCACAAGCAAAACACAAACTATATCCCAACTGGAAGAGCAATTTATCGAACTCAATAGAATGGACGAACGTCAGAAGATGCAAATCGCTTCGCAGAAGAAACAAATTGCAGTTCTGACAATAACTAGGCAGGTTTGTAGCCATTTATTTTTCGAGAAAATCTGTAGGATTCTTTTAAGAAAATTCGGGAAAAATAAATTTTTGGACGCTTTTGAAAAACGTTTAGAAAGCAACAACCACCCATAGGTCGAGAAAAACGGGAAAAAATTAATTGAAAACCTAATGTCCCGTTTTCTTCCAAACTCTTCAAGAATTGCTGAATAATGATTTTGGAAACAATATTCGGAAACGAAAATTTCCAAAAAAAAATTTGGGGAAAATTTTCGGGAACAACAATTCCAGAACACTTTTCTTGAACAAGTATTTCCATAATGCAAATTAAAATCTTTCAGACACAATACACTGAAAGTCAACTTCTGGTGGACGAGCTCAATAAAAAAATCAAGGAGAAAAATTGCCTGATCAATAATATTATTAACAAAAAAAAGAAGGACCTCGAGAAACTGGAAGAAAAACACCAAATTGAGTTGAAAAATGCAGAAATGAAGCACAGAGCAGAGTTATGGCAATACCGACAAAATGTTAGAAACAAGAAAATGAAAGACTCTTTTATGCAAACGGAGGACTCTGACGACGACTACATTTCTTGTTCGGAAGACATTGAAGACAATGTTTCTTGTTCGGGCGACGTTGAAGACAACGTAGAGGTTCCAAAAAACGAACAATCAATAGATCAAATAGAAACTGCGACATCATTTGAAGCGGATCATCTGGAGCTGTCAGTCAGACTTCTCAACATTGCCAATAAACTGTTGAACATCCAGGACAAGAAGCAGCAAGTCAACAACGCACTGCAAACCAATAATCAGTTCGAACTGGATGCTGAAAAAGAGAAAAACTGGATGGTCATGGAAGAGAACAAGGCTCTCCGAGCTGAATTAAACCGGAATAAAAAGGATCATCAATTAGAAGTTGCTAACTTGCACAACCGCTTGTCAGATGCCTATGGGTTCGAGAAGTGGGAGTGAAGAATACGACTAATATTTAAGTTTTTATGAATTATCTTCTTCATCCATTCTTCTGTTTTTTGCCCAGTTTCGTATTATTCTGTAAACGTTATCCGTTGTGATCTTTCTGTTGATATGCATTCAAAGTATTTTATGCATGTTTTCTGTATTGTAGAAAAAACCACAAATCAAAATGAAATTGCCAGAATATGTTGCTCTTCCACCATTGTTTGATGTTGCATACCGTTTTCTTTCCTAGAAAATGCTATTTCGTACATCCTAATCCTTATTATTTTATTGAACTTTAAAGCGCATTCAATGTAATTTTTTTACAAGTTGTTGTCAATTTTGTGGGTGACTAACTATAATAGTAAGTTTTTTTTTCATACCTAATTTGAAATTTTAACATTTAAGAATGACAGTTTTCAGTCAGTAAAAAGGATTAGGATTTATAAAACAACGTTTCCTAGGAAACAAAGACATGCGTGGGAAAAACGCCTTCTTTAGTAATAAAAAAGTATTTGTAAAAGCCGGAATAGAGCTATAGGTCAGGTGTGGTGAATTGAAAAAAAAAATTGAATATTCTAGAAATTAAAAAATTGGGGATTTTTCAAAATCACAAAAAATTGATCATCAAATTTTAATTTAACCGTTTCTTTCAAGTTAAAAAAAATGCTAGAATGTAAAAAAAAGATTTTCGAGATTTCAGCAATTCATTTTAATCATTCCGCCGGAATTGTTGAGAGTTTGAGAATGATATGATATGATAACCGATTTTATAAAAATAATGACAGAAATTCTTTTTTCTTACTCATCCGTGTATTGCTTTAAAAAAGAAGGAGACCATTGGGCCCCTCGAATTTTCAACTTGACGCTTTTGAATCTGTTTTCCTGAAAAAGACAGCAAAAAGTGGTCAACTAACAAAATGTTTGTAATAATCTCCAAATCAAGCATAAATTATTTACGTTAACGCGTGAGCACTTTTTTTTCAAAAATAGGCGGAGCCCCTAGTTACAAAACCCTATTTCCAGATGTTATCAGTATTCATTTCTGCCTAGGACATCTGTTTCGTAACCGAGCTTAGAAGATGACCGCTCAGAACTCCTCGGCGCTTGAGAATCATGAGGAAAAAACGTCACAAACGCACATGTTTAATGTGTAAACCATCTTGGTTGTAATAAGCGCAATTTTCATTTTTGCTTCTCTATATTTCATGATTAAACTAGCTAAGAAAATCGAAACAATCAATACCAAAGAGTTCGCTTTTGTTCGAAAACAGCGAGTTGTTTCATCATACTTCGTCATGGGAAATTTAGGTCAACTGGCTTCAATTTTGTAAACCTCTAAACGTTTTCAGATTTTTCTTATGTTGTTATTTGATTGTTTGTTTGTCCAAGTCCCAACCTCTGGTTTAATCCCTTCTTTGTGCGAATTTCCCAAAGTTTTGAAGAAATTTCATCTCACTATTCGTCTCCTACATTTTTTATATCTTGTCCAATCTACCCAGTATACGGTAGTCAGAGTTATTCGCATCTACTACAGACAAGATCTTCATTGGTATCGGAAACTTCTAGTCATTTTTGTGATTCTCGTCTCCTTAATCGCTATTCTTTCTGTATTGATCTTCGCAGCACCTCAAATTAAACATTGTTCTCTACAAAAACCGAACACAATGTCTTTGAATATTGAGGTTGGATTTGGGGTAAGACTCGTATTCTGAAAACAGTTACATTTTGGTTTTTTTAGGAAATCATGGAGCAAATCGACTTCTGGTTCACTCTTTTTTTGTCTTACTGGGAATGTTTTTGGATTTCTTTTCAATATCTATCAAGTACGATATGACATTATTTACGGAACCACTGGCGAAACAAATATCCTCGAATTTCGAGCCGAGAAAGTCTGGACATACGTTGCAGCTTTGAATTTTCTTCCATACTCCAAACTTCTCTTCTCTGTTGTAAGTTGTTTTAAAGACGAAAAAGTATTATGGGTTCGATTGCTCGAAATCAAAGTCTATTTCGGTAGACATAGAAAACTTTGGATGACTGCTTTTTGAGAACTTTCTGATCAAATAGTGAACGCGTTCGGTTGGAAATCAGCTTGCGTTAGTAAAGCGAAAAGTTCAAAAGTTGCTTTCTGATTATGTTCAAAGAAATTCCAGAAAAAAAGAAATGAAATAATAAAAAAATATTTTGAGATATCCCTTGATCCAGTCCTTTCTTCATGGATTATGTCTCTCATTTATGGTTGTGTAACTCTGCTTATCCCTTTAATTGTTCTCAACACTCACCCGGGAATCGCCAAGAAGAAAAAGACTTTGGTAGCTACAGTATCTGCGTGGAATTAAATTTAATTATTTCTTCGAATAACTTTACCTGCGAAAAATGAATCGCAAACATTTCTTTCAGAAATTGTATATTCATTATTTATTTTTTTCCATCACGGCTAGTCTTACAATGAACCAATAAACAAGTTTTTTCCAAGATTTTTTCCGTTCCAAGTGACTACGAATCAAAGTCTGATTAGAATTCTTCCTGATGATTAATCTAAAGAAACTTTTGTGTACCCGTGTGAACTTGACCGAAACATTTTTTTCCACTTGACTCATCATGAAAATTAAAATATCTCTATGCTCTCGTCGCCGTGGCTGTAAACATCTGGAGATCGAAGACAAAATTAAAAATTATTTCTGACAACTTCTCCAGATCTAAAACATTTTTCCGGAAAATCAGTAAAAATATTATTTTTATGATTTTGAAAAAAAAAACATAGGTAACTGATTAGCAAATTTAATTTTTTGAAACCCGAAACTCGTGAAATCCGGAAATTTCAGTTGTGCGCGGTTTTGATGAATTTTTTGACGATATATCTGCATTTCTAAATTTCCACTGAATCGTGAAAAGAAAAAAATTTATTGAATCAGCTATCTGTTTTCAGGCTGACCTATTTCTTATCAGCACAACCTATATGTTGAAATGCTCATTTGCGCATAGCTCATTTGCTTATTCATCACTAATATTTTGCCACACCTACAACTTAGTTATTTTTTTTCTAATAGCGCTTTTTTGTTTTTTTTTTTTTTCGAGTGTTTCTTTTCGCGCACTTTGCGTTTTCATTTTTTTGTATTTTGAAAAAAAACAAACGATTTTAATTTATAAAATTTATTTATCAAGTTGGATGAGTAAGAATGGCACAAGAAAAGGAACGAGTAGTTGGTCTCCTCTGGAGCTGCCAAACGATCGAGTCAGATGAGAAGTGGTTGTCCATCCTCCTGAGTCAAAATCAGATCACTGTTGGCATCAACCTCAGACAAACATTCCTGGATGCGTTGTTTGAGAAGATCATGATTTACAGGGATGATGTCATTGAGTTCTCCAACCATTTCAAAAAATGGAGTCATGAACTTCATCATCAGTGGCAGAGTGTCGCGCGGGGTCCGAATCTAAAAATGTTAATATTTGTTACTAGGCTTCTTTTTTTCTACTCACCAACTCCCGCTTCCAGTTCATCAAATCATTCTCAGGAGATTTGAGTTTTTGGCGGAAATCGAAGCCGCTGGCATATAAGATGGCGTAGCTGGCTTGGATAACATCGTCTTTGGGCGCCGGGTCGCATCCCAAAGAAACATCATAAGATGAGTATTTCATTTTCGAGAAGTTAAAATCTCTGGGATCGTCTCTGAGATTTCCATCTGCGTCAGCATAAACGTGGCTCAATCCAAAATCCAGGATCTTCACAGACACTTGATTTCCCGGAGTCTTGGGTTGCGTTAGGGCGAAATTGGATAACTTCACATCCCTATGAACCAATCGCAATTCGTGTAATGCCTGAGGCATTTCATCATTTGATAAGCAATTCCAATCAAAGTAGGACGTTTGTATGACTTCCATGGTGTCGTTTCACGAATCAATTCAAGGTCGTAAGTAAGGAGTTCCATTCCTGAAAATATTTAAATTATTGTATTTTCAATTACAGGAAGTAGTTTTTTCCAGAGACCGTATTCATGAACATTTATCTATGGAAATAATTTAATCTCAACCAATCAGCCGAATTATTCAAAAAAAAAAGTAAATAGACGCATGAATCTACTGAAAATCTTTCACATTTTTCAAATGATTTTCCAGTTTCTGATATAGAAAAATGACTTTGAACAAGATTTTCTCATTTCTTTTAAACTAAAAAATTCTTATTTTTAGACACAGTTCTTTAAAATCTAGTTCAATTCATTCATGTAATTTGTATCAAAAATCAAAAGTTTTAGTGAGACATCAACGAAATTTTAGTTCAAAGTTAGATAATAACGTTCTTTGATACTATTCTATCGATGCATAATTTTTTGGAATACTAGCTTTTCAAAAATTGAGTGTGAATATCAAAATAAAATAGCACAACTACTTCATGACAAGCGGCGTATTTTCCAAAAAAATAACATTTCTTCAATTTTCACGTTTTTCAGTTAAGTTTCTTGAAGTTAATGATTTACATAGGTATTATGAAAAATCAGCCTACTTGTTTTTATTTTATGTATGAAAAAAACTCACCGATTATGTGATAGGGACCATATTTGCCAGTGAAATGGAATCTCGGGGAAATGTTACTGTAGTATAACAGTTGTAGAGCCGATGCTTCGATAAGCAGGTCTTCTTCCTGCATTGACACCTTCATGGCAATGGTATCCAAGCCGCTAATCGCTTGATAGACAGCGCCATAAGATCCATGGCCAATCAATCGAGAGAGCTGGTATCCTCTAATCAGCAGATTATCGTAGCCAGACATACTGAAAAAAAATTCAATTTTCCTTTCTGCAGTGAAAATTTGTAGCTTTTGCTGATTTTTTCTGACTCTTTCTGTTTTTCTCTCAAAATTTAGTGACCTGATTATTTTTTGGCGTGACCTAAATTCCAAAATATGCTCAACACTTTTTTATAACTATTTATATGACGTTTTCTGACTTTTTTCTGATTTTTTTTAGATTTTTCTGGATGACCTAATTTATTTTTGGCGTGACCTAAATTCCAAAATATATTCAACATTTTTGCCCAACTATCACTTATACACACCAACTACTTGTCATTGAAAAAAATATCAAATTTACCTTCGAAACAGACGCTGGGAGGGAGAGAGAGAGCGAAAAAAGTCACCAATCAGGAGGGTGAAAAAGAATGATTTTTCTGAAGGATTTCCCCCTTCATCGACCATGAAACGTGGAAGGTCACCCTAAATTGTTTTGAGGGCACCAGGATTTTATTATTTTTGAAGGGTGAGTGACTGGGGGTGGGTGGTTATGATGGGTGGGGATGAAGATTGGAACATGAAATTGGGTCAGCTGCGAAACTAGGTCAAAGGGTACCTCTATCTAGGTCAAAATTGGAATTTTATGGGTTTTAATGGTAGAGGTACCATATTGGATGGTTGGAAAGAGCAATTGATATAAAATCAAAATCAGGTCATCAGGCGACATTAACTAGGTCAAATTTGTATTTTTGTTAGTTATATAGGTAGTGGTCCCAAGTTAGGAGTATGGGATCCTTGAGAGATGAGAATTAATAATTAGGTCAAACTTTTCAGAAAAGTAGGTCACAGAAGTTGTTTTTTTCTCCGTAAAGATGAAGGTATTATATTTTGGGAACGGAATCCTTGAGGGATGGGAATTTTGATTGTAAAAACTCTTACAGAAGAATTGGTTAGGAGACCAAATTTATGTACACTTTCCTAGGAAAAACGTTTTTCTATCAGAACATTAGCTGGAAAGGCGTGAATATCGAAGGAGAATAATAGTTTGGAAAATCAGTAGATTATCATGGAATAGGGATACTAAATTCGTTTCATGTTCACACCAAGTTCTATGAAGTTTTTTATTCTGAAAAAGTAGTGTGATGATAGAATGATTCAATTTTCGAAGAACTAATAGAGCCAGTATAGTTTTTGGCTTTTTCCGGAGAACGGTCTCAAAACGGGATCACTGGTCCCATCTTTGAACCGCCGGTCTCAACGACCTTCGACAACGGTCCTATTGATCCGATAACGGTTCCAACGTTCCGAGAACGGTCCCAACTCTCCGATAATGGTCCCAATGGTACGACAGCGGTCCCAACCAGGCTTTCTTGGAAATTATTCTGGAAATCCTTGAGAATCTTTCTTGGGAATTTCAGTTTTGAAAACAAAACACTCTGACAAACATGCTGTTAAAAAAACAGAAATTTCAATTATCATCGAAATTCGCAATTTTGTCGCTGAAATGTTTTTCTCGGTATTTTTAGTGAGCTTTCGTTGGGACCGTTGTTGTATCAGTGGGACTATTTTCGGAGACTTGGGACCGTTGTCAGAACATTGGGGCAGTTGTCAGGCCAATGGAACCGTTGTTTGAATTCTTAGAACCCTTGTTTCAAAGATAGGACCGTTCTTCCCGGAAAGAGCCGATTTTTGTTATCTTATGTAGAAATTGAGATAATTGCGCTAAAACTTCTGAAATAGGTTGACCTTCTACTAGAGTGTTTATGGTAACTGCATTAGAAGAATGAAGAGATTTGGAAATCCGATTTATTAGACTGATTTTTGAAAAAGACAAAAAAAACATAGATTCAGAACTCAAAATATCATATTTTCAAAACTGACAGTTTTACAGAGATCTATGGAATTATCAGAACTCCACAAAGAAAAATGATAAGAATAGATTTTTTGGTCTCAGAAGCGGTCAGCCGCAATGAGAACAATTAAAAAAAAGTTCGAAATTTGGGGAAACCTGGGGGCTTTTTATTTGGAAAAATAAACGTTTCAATCACCAAATGCTGTTGAAAACGAATAAGTAAAGCAAAATAAGGATTTCTCAGACAGAACTCCTATCACGAATTTTGCCACCCCACTTTACATGGAAGATGTTATTTCTCCAGCGAACAGAAGGTTCCATTAAAGCCTTGATGAAGATCACTGGAGACGACAGTTCTCGAAACAACCAAAAACCAATAAATTGAACGAGAGACACTGTAAGCGGACCATTCTGAAAATAAACCTTTTAATGGAATCCTGAATATTTAGTTTTCCACACCTGCATGACTCTCATTATCATATAATCCATGAAAATCCAGAACAGAAAATTCAAGAAAATAGTCATTGGAATGTTGATGTTGAAAAGATGATAAACACTGAGTGCGAAGATGATGCCAGCTGGGAAGCAATCCTGAAACATTATTGGAAAATACGATTTTTTTTTAATTGTGTTACCTGAAGAGGCTCGACAAAAATAACTTGAGGCATCATGGCGATTCTCAACTTGGCCCATCTGCTCACCCTATTCGCAAATGACTTGAAGGTTGTAGCCGCTGAATTTTGAAGCGCTGGTTGATTCGAGATTCCAGATTTGTATCCACGTGCAGCCATAAGTTTGCCAAGAAAGTAGTCTTCTGCCATATAATCTTTGAATGCTGCCATTCCTCCACATTCTTCTAGAGCCGCTTTTTTGAATATCGACGACATTCCAGTTGGGCAATTGAATCCAAGGAAGTTTCCAGCAAGATACATCTTGGCATGAGCTGTTCCAAAGAAAACCTGAAATATTTTATTTCGTTTTTTTTTTCAGGGTTCGGAATTCCCTTATACCTGCTCAAAACAATTGGCCAATCCAACGCGATCCATGCAAAATGGAATTTGTGTTATTAACCCTAGTTTTTCCTGGCTCATAATTCTCTTGGCCAAATCAAGAATACCATCGGGCCGCGTGAAGATAGTACTGTCACTGATCATGACCAGTGGGTACTTCGAAGTCGTATATCCCGGATTCATGTTATTGTTTTTGGGATTGAACCCAATCTCGTGTTCTTCTGGAAAAAATCATGAAAAATAACGATGAGCTAACTTACGGAAACAGATAGTGGCGTCTACGTCGGGATATCTCTTGATAAGGGCCTTCACGACGGGGACAGCAACGTCCTCAGGGGAATGGAAGCAGAAGAGCAGTTCAAACTGGTGGTACTGTGCAGTGAAGAAGGAAGCCAAGTTTGTTTCCAGATTTTCATCGGTTCCCATTATTGGCTTGATAATCGAGACTCCAGGAAGAAAAGTGTCCGGTTCATTGACCTTATGGAGATGAAAGGTTCTGAAAATCTTTTTTCGTGCAGGTTTTCAGCTATTATTCTAATAATTTTCCTCAGTCTAGCAGTGTTGACCAAAATTATGCGCCTAACTAGCCATTTCAATGGAATACTGTCAATTTTAAGTTTTTGAAAAAGTGTTTATCACTGGTTTGATGGACGAGAAAAATTCAGAAGTTGCTGAACGAATATAGAACTTTTTTCTCAATGACAATTTTTCGAAACGATTACGAAATAGAGCGATATGATATTAAACAGAAAGGTTTGAAAAATTTCAAATTAACCACTCAAATAAATGAAAAACAGTCCATTGTATTACGCAACATATCTTCATAAGAAATGATTTCACAGAGAAATTGTTTAACAAAAAAAATGATTTTATACTCGATTTAAAGGTGGGGGGACATGAAAAAAATAATGTTCTCGAAATTCCGTTCAAAGATGCCCCTCGAGGAGTTGAACTTGTGAGGGCGATGATTGAGGGTGCGGCGCCGCTACCGACTGAGCCACGCGGGCAAAGAGAAAGCACACGCCCGATTGCATACATAAAGGCGAGGACGACAGATGTACGCAGAGTGACATTAAGTGTTGTACACCGTGACGGTAGAATGCATACCCTAGCTACAAAAAAACTACGAAAAATCTCCTGTCCCCCCACCTTTAAGACTCTAGAAATGTTCAAAAACAAAAGTTCAATTAAAACACTTTTTAGACACTCAATGTTGGTTATCTTCCACCTAATCGGTTATTTTCGGATAAAATTTTAGTTATTTACTGTACGAAGACATGTCTCAAAGTATCAAAGCTCTCCTACTCTTGACATGTTTGACCTCTGAAGTTCATCCAAAAAACAATGATAAATTACTTACCCATAGCAAAGAGCAATCACATGAATTGAATACAACGCTCCAACAAAAACCACTCCGAAAATTGCCAAACAAGTAGTGATGTCCAGATTCTCAATTAATTTTTCGATTCCCACAACGATCCAAGGCACCAAACTCGAGACCGTCGCAAAGAACGACGTTTCCAAGGGCACTTGCAAGGATTTGGTGGTAGACGGACTCTCAGAAATTTCTCTATCGTTTTGCCTTGATCTTTTTATGGGCATTTCTGAAAAATGGAAATTTCGAGATTCTGATTTCAATTGAAAAATGCCAAATAGACATAAAGGAGAAGGAGGATGTCGGCAAAAAACTGAAGAATAAAAATAATGGGTTTGAGGAACGAAAATTGTTTATATTCATTTCTCTCGGTCCTCCTAAGATTGAGGATTTCTTAGTTGGAGAAGAAGCGGACTAAAAAAATTATTTTGAAATAGTTCACGAAGACTACTCCGCCCTGTCCGACATGTACTCGACATTTGTCAGAAAAATCCAAACGATTCTAGAAAAAAAATGTCATACAATTTTTGTACTTTTTGATATGAAATAAATTTACAACAACTAAACATTATTGATGATGGAATAGCGATAAGGATAATCCAAAAGCGTGGAAAATAACAAAATTGAAGACAAAGGGAAATTGCAGACATGAATGTTTTTAATATTTACAATGTCGTTAGATAATACGTCCGCTTACCTTTTCGGATTATTTTCCAAATAAATTGAAAATTCATATTACAAATAATGAAATCGGACCATTCCCATATTAGATTCAGAGCACACAGAATAGCTAGAAGTACCAAACAAAAATAAAATTTCTGCATCTTAGACTTTCCGACAAACTGAAAAGTCGGCAGACAAGAATTACACAATTAACCAAAACAGCAATAACTATAAATATTCGGAGCAGCGGCAAACTGATAAGAAATGATGAAGAAAATGAGTGCACTTCAGAGAGGAGACAAAAAAAAAGAAAAGTGTCTAATTTTTTTCGCATGCTTCTTTATTATACGTTGATAACAGAACACGCATACAGGTTTACATTTTTGCACAGTTCACTTATAATATGAGATGAGGCAAAAACAAATTCAGCATAGAAAAATGGATGTCGCCTGTAATAAGTCTAATAATGAACGTCGAATAAATGAAAAAAACATTTTCAGAACAAAAAATCTTTGGTGAATTTTCTAACAGTTAGTGATGGTGTATGAAAAACAAACGTTCCAGGTTGTCGTACGATTTCGAAAACTACAGTATGTTTCTAATATTGAACGCATTTCATTTTTATATGCTCTTCAATAAGGATCATGGTTCAATTATTAGGTTGGCGGGAAAGTCTTTGTCACTTTTTCAATAGTTTATTTCTCAAAGAAAAAATAACCGAATAATTAATTATATTGTCCATCATTATCAACAACATGTCTCCAACGTTCCCTCAATTTATGGATTCCATTGCGGTAGAATCCAGCCGGGCGTGAGGCAAAGTATTGTTTGAGTGCCGCTTCGACCGCTCCACGGGAATTGAAGCTTCTTCCTTCGAAGGCACGTGTCATATCGCCAAATAACCAATAGTCGGAAGGAGCAAGATCAGGAGAATACGGGGGGTGAGGGAGAACATTCCATCCATATCCCATCAGCTCCTGCTTCACTTGTTTCGAAACATGTGGGCGAGCGTTATCATGTTGATAGTACACTTTCTTGTCTTTCAGGGCCGAACGGTCGACTGCTTTCTTGAGGTTTCGTAGTTGAGTAGTGTAGAGGTCTCCAGTTATTGTTTTGCCCTCGGGCAGAAGTTCCCAGTAGATGGGGCCGTCCACTCCCCACCACACAGAGAGCATAACTTTTTTCGGATGAAGGCCGGGTTTGGGGACATCCTGTGGGCTCTCTCCTTCTCCAACCCACTGGGATTTCCTGTGGTGATTATCGTAGAAGACCCACTTCTCATCTCCGGTTATTAGCCGGTCCAGCCATCGATCGCCCGCGTGGAGAGTGAGAAGAGTAATCGAATCGTCGACTCGGCGGTCAAGGTTGGCTTGAGTCAGGTGATGAGGTATGAATCGACCAAAAAGTTTTCTCATTCCAAGAGACTTCAAACCTTCAAGGACTGTGCTATGGTGAACTCCGAATGTGACAGCTAGTTCACGGCTAGATTGAAATGGATCCGATTGCAATGCGTGCTTCAGCTTGTCCAAATCCAACTCACGGGGTCTCCCAGAGCGATCCTTTTCATCGAGCGAGAAGTCATCTTTTTCGAAACGATGGAACCAATTGCGAATAGTATTGTAGTGAGGGGCATGTGTGTTGTACACATTCTTCAAGAAAGTTTCCGAATCCTTCATCGTGGTGTGAGATAGGAAGAGGTAAATCAAAACATGTCTGATGTGAATAGCAGTGGGAACAAACATATCGTTTCAATTACAGATGAGGAGCAGGGAAGGAAATGGGGACTTGTTTATATGGAAGGTTCTTATCACCTTGTTATTACTAGAGTCGATATCATACACAGCCTCCATATACGAGAACAGTGATTAAACAAACAGAGTGACAAAGACTTTCCCGCCAACCTAATATTTGATCCAACTGGCTCGGTGACTCAAATTCTGACGATTGGAACTTTCGGACCTTGATTTAAAAATACATTTTTTCAAATGATAACAACCGCAAAACCTGATAAATTTGGTAATTTTTAACTTGGCCATAATTCTTCCAGTTGCCCCCCCCCTCTTTTGTCTTGGTTCCCTTTTCTCATGGCCCCCGCTATTAAGAGCAAAAACTGTGACCTTCTGAATAATGTTCATATATTGAAACACTTTAAAATTTGCTTTTGCTGCTTTTGTAACTGTTATTTGAATTGTTTCATTTTTGGATGAGTCACATTTCGGGTCTTGTTGTTTCCCAAATTCTAAATTTCTGACTCATTGTCCTCACACTTTTGTAAAACAGATTTTCAAGAAATTTTAAGATTTCAGTTCTTCATTTTGATTTACTAATCGATTTGTATTTCAAAAATTCTAAACTTTTTTATTCCTCAATCCAAAAACTTAATCAGTGTTTCTCGTACCTCAAATTTTTAGCTTCATTTTTCTCCAAAACCAATTTAATCTCACTCCGACTAGTATCAATAGAGAATAAAAAACTGAATGGCTTTATGATTAGAATGTTGAGAAATTCGAACAATTGGTTCAGTTTCTAGTTTCAGGAAACTACCAGAGTTGTTATATTTTTCGAAAAAATAACTTTTTTTATTCCAACCGTAACAGGAACTCAATTCCAAAACCCCATTTCTAGCTAGAGCTCAATTATCTTATGTTATACAAAAGCTATGAAAAATCTGTCAACTGATGAAATATTAGTGACATCATGACCCACATTTAATCAGTTGACAGATTTTCAATACTTCACCAACCGCAAGGCTTTCGGAATAAATCACCATACGGCCGTCAAGTTAGGTAGAACTTCGAGCTCAATTATCTCGGTTTCTTCGAGAGTTATTAAAAATTATAAACTGAAAAAATATTGATGATATTATAATAGACAGTTTATCAATGGAAAATGTTCCGATAGTTTCTGATGGGACCAAGATAAGTGAGCTCAAATGCACTTAGTCGTTATTAGTTCAAGTCAGCTTTTCTAAACTTAAGATTTGTTCACACCTCTCTGAGTTTAATATTATCTTTTAATTTTAATCTAAAATTATCGACGCATTGAGCTAAAAATTTGGACACTGGTAAACATTGTAAATTAAAAATGAATTAAGCGTCTCCCACTGTTGACATCTCATGATGATATCGAATTATTAGGTTGGTGCATAAGTTTCTTCCGATTTAGGAAAAAATTTTTACATAATTTTTCTCAAAGGCTAGATTAATAAAAATAATGTCCATGAGCATTAATTGTTGTCTGATAACGCTCTGGTGATGTCTTGATTCCATCGGCCCAAAACGAGGAGAGCTGCGATTGAAAACGTGGGTCAACTCCTTTTTTGTGTCATCTTTTCAACTGAAGTCTTTTCTATCAAGGTGACGTTTAAGGGACCCAAACAACCGTTCATCCGGAAGCGTACGGTCCGGAAAATACGATGGGTACAAAAGAATAATACAGGCAAACATCATGAGTTTTTGGCTGATCCTCTGTAGACAGGCGATATTGCACTGTCGTGTTGGAAGCAAACCTTGATCTTTTCTCCTTGTTCCGATTCGACTGCCAATATCAATTTCTCTACTTATGAATTATATGGCGGCCATTATATTGGTACATTCATCTAAAAATTCCCAGTCTTCACTCCTTCGACAGAACATCAAACACGTAGCATACCCATTTTCATGGGAAATTTAGGTTCCGGGACGTCCAGAGCTAGATGTCCTTTGGCAATCAACTGACCCTTTCGTACATCGATAGAGTAACTTACCCGTTTCCCATCTACAGTAATTAAATCATTCACCTAACTGAACGTGCCAAGAAATGATGGGAGAAACATGCTCATGTCTACACAGCGATCTATATCGTCGTCCTTCGAAGCATAGGTTACTAATCGACCGAGTTCTTGAAGTTGCCAAGAGACTTCAATCCGGTCACAACACTTGGTTGACTAACTGACAGCGCCTTTGACATTTTACAAGTGGTTTGAAGCGAATCGGTCTTAGTGGTAATCTTAAATAGGTCCAAGTGCAACTTCCGAACCGATCTTCGTCTACCAGTTCTAAATTTTTGTCTTCGAATTGATTGACCCATGCTTGATGGTAATAGTAGTAAGAGATCCATCTTCATCTATTTCTTTCATTTTCTTGTGGATAACATGCCTTTTTAAACCAGAAAGAAATTGAAATAAAATGCAATTCAGAAAGTGTAGACGGTAAGAGACGAAAGAAAGCGGCATGCTCGCGAACGACAAGAGGGAGTAATGAGTCACAGTCTATAAAGGAAGTTCGTGAGATACTCTATCGAACAAAAAAACATCTTTCAAGAATAACCATCCCGCTGACTAGATATCAATTTTCAAAGTTGATCGTTCGAAATCGAAAGAAACTTATGCACCAACCTAATACAAAGAAACCGTCATATCTTGCGGTATTATCTGAAAGAGTACATCTTCTTCCAACTTTTTTTATGATCCCCGCCTGCTTCTATGTATATGAACAGACATTTGAGAGGTGGAACCTGCACGTGGAATGAAAGCTCGAAGAGAAATTTGGTTTTTATTCTGTTAATTTTTGTGGCTTCTTCATTGTAACAAATTAACGAATTTCCTCATATAAAAGCCCGCTCGAATAGCCAACTTTGAGCTCAATTATCCAGATTTCTGTGAAAAATATCAGATTTTGATAATTGATAAAATATTGGTGGTATCGTGATACAAATTTTATTAGTTGACACATTTTTGATATCTTTCATAGGAATTGAGATGAATAAGCTCAAAGTTGACAGTAGGGGGCTCTTCTATTACAGATTGTTCGGTATTTTTAGTTTAACGGCGTAATTTTTTTCTCTCATTTGTTATGCTTACTTTCAGATGATTTCAAATCCAGCCATGGCTATTAAACTTGGATACAATTGGAGATGGAATTTGAAAAATGGCGGATTTGGAAACGTTTCGGTTGTAGACAAAAAAATTGAGGACCGGGAGAAAAGAGTGTTTGTGATGAAACGCGTCAGTGCTTCAACTCGATATGAAATGGAATTCGATATTCATCGATTTGTGTTTGGATACGGAAGAGAAGCTGGATCGGACCATATCATTGAAATGTTTGCTATGTATGTGGCTGGCACTGAAGCGGTTTTCATCATCGATTTTGCTGATCAAGGTGATTTGGGAAGTAGATGTACTCTACCACTTCATCCATCGCTTGCACAGAACTATTTCCGTCAATTAATTTGGGGACTAGATTTCATCCACAAGAAAAACGTGGTTCACAGAGACATCAAACTCTTGAACTTGTTTTTGAAAAGTCCAAGTAAGCGGTTAACGTAGAAAATGAAAAAGGAATAACTATTTTCAGACAAATTGAAAATTGGGGATTTCGGAATGGCGGAGCGATATAGAACCGACTGTGGTAAACAGATCTGGTTGAAAGGCAGACAAGGTACGCGGACTCACCTTGCTCCTGAACTCTTCATCGGCGGAATGGAGTCAAAAGGGCCTCCATTGGATGTATGGGCTGCAGGAATTGTGCTAGTGGAGTTGCTTACAATGAAGCGGTTGTGGAAACAAGCTGATTTGAAGTAAGTTTGCATATTCCTGAAGAGAGGTACAAGGGAAACTCAGTACCTTGTTAATGCGGATGTTGGGAAACTCTTTGGATAAGTTAAGCATAGCCTATCTAGACACTTCTGAAAATTTCAGAATCCGCTCGCTACTTTCAGCCAAGTTATACCCGTTCTAGTACCGAAAATCGCTTTTTTATTGCAAAATAGCAATTTCCTCAACTTCTAGAACGTTTCGAAGCATAAAATATTATTTATTATTCTGAGAATTGAATATTCGTTCATTTTTTTGTAACTGGCTAGCGGTAAAAAAATGTTTTCAGAGGTATCTAGATAAGCGAATTTCTACTCATCATCTGATAAAAACCTGGGTTTACAAGGTGTTGATGATTGCTTGTTAGTGTCGCTCTTTTTTTAAAGATTTGTTGGAAACCTAGTAGCTACATTGTCAGAAGTTCAATGAAAACAACATCTTTAGCTTTGAAAATCTTTTTTACAGTGACAAAAACTTTGTGAAGTATTTTGATGACAAATACAAAAATATGGAATTCGAATGGAAAAGTCTTGGAATGGCAAAAAGTGAGTTATCTCCGTTTATGTTCAATTCAAGTCGAATTGTTTACAGAATTGGTTCAAAAATTGCTCAAAGTGCAATCTGCATTCAGGATCACGATCGAAGACATTATCAAGGACCCCTGGTTTGTCACGGATATTCCAGAAGAAGACGAATTCGAAATCGCAATGCGTGGAAGAGAAACGTTTGTTTAGTTTTGAGACCCGTGCCATCTTTTTTGATGTATTGTTAACTTAAACGAAAAAATTAATAAACGTGAAAATACAGGTTTATGAGAGAATAAAGATGGCAGAAAAGAGCATGATCATGCTCTAGTTCAAAATATTGGATGGTTCAATTATTTTGGTAAAAAACAGGTTCAAAAAGTTCACAAAAGAAAAACTGAGATACATTAAGTTGAATTGGCAGTGAAATGGGTTTTTTACAAGTGATACGGTATTGATTTTCAAAAAAAAACGGAGGAACTGAAGAACCATTAATCGTTTTGTTTGAACCAGACATGGTTTTCAATGAAGTGGTAGCTGACTCGGTTTGTTGGATCGCACTCGAGCATCTTGAGAACCAAGGCTGGAAATGAAGTTATGCAAAACTGTATTATTTCGATAAAATTCTTACTGGTGGCATTTCCAAGCTGTCCCCAATGGAATTTCATTCGATTCATAGCATTTTGCGAGTACTTCTTGAACTCCGCATCTCTGAAAAAATCTGATAATTGTGTTTATATTGGTGATTGAAAACTCCAAAATGTCTCTTAAACTTTTAGGCGTCCCTGACATACAGTATCGGATAATAAGATTTACAAACCCGCATTTTTTGTTGATTTTCGTCCATTTTGACCATTTTCAGGAGTCTGAAGATCATATGTCGAATTTTCGATCCCTTAAAAATTTTTGAGGGTGTGAAACAGACTTTGAGGAACATGTTTTTTCAGGGGTTCAATACAAAAACATGCATAACAGGGGTGTTTTTCAGAAATCGGTCAATACCGAAACAATAGAAATTTTTAAAAAATTATGTGGATGCAACGTGTTCAATCGGAGTCAGTTTTGCACCCTTCAAACTTTTCTTTCCCCGGTTACCATCACTCCTTATTTCTTCAAATCCTTCGAATAAACGAAATATATAAACTTTTCAAAGTGATCGGAAACTTGACCACCGAGCTCCAGACTTCCGAATATGATCAAACAGGTCAAAAATCAACTGAAAATTTTTTCGTATATTTTAACGACCGGTACTGTAAGTACATCGAATCCCAATAAAAAAGTTCTGATCCATTAGTTAGCGGAAAACTTAGCTCTCCACAGCATCCTTCCACGGCTCTTTTTTTGTGATCATATTCACCAACACGATTCCAGCAGCCCAGACGTCTACAGGAGGTCCTCTCCATCTTGCATTTTCCACTAAGATTTCAGGGGCCATGTAACCATGTGTTCCGCGTTTTCTATCCAGCATAATTTCATCTCCGTTGTCAGTTTTGCATGATCTTGCGAATCCAAAGTCGCCAATCTTGAGCACATCTGCAATAATACATGAGGTTTCAATAACAAAATGATTTTTAAGTTCATTTCTTCTATCTTTAGAGAGCATTTTGAAACTAAAACTGGAAAGAACAGATTTCCAGAAATTACAATAAAAATTTTTCTGGAATCAAAGAAATAATAAGATAAACACTTACTGTTTGCTGAGATGAAGAGGTTCTCCGGTTTTATATCGAGATGGATAATATCTTTTGAATGCATGTGTTGGAGTCCGGCGATCAAATGTTTGAAGAACCGGTGATACGGGACTGCGGACGGAGATTCAAAGATTAGGTGGAACAGATCGCCCATCGAAGCGAGCTCCATGAAGAAAACAGTTTGCAGTTCCACATTCTCCATGGCGAAAATTTTTATGACGTGGTCCGCTCCTTCGCTTGCCTTCATGTGTGACGAGAATTCCCGTTCGCTTCGGTGCGCGTCGTGCTTTATTGTTTTCATCGCAATTTGATTCTTCTCGGGATTGTTGTCAACTTTTTCCACCACCGAAACGGAGCCGAAATTTCCCGAAGTCAAGTCTCTGCGCCAGTTATAGCCGAGAAGGGGAGCGAGTTGTTGATTGGAAAGCATCTGAAAGTGGAGTTTATTGAATAAAGCAATGAGTTTAAAAATTAGGTGTTTTCCTTAAAGGAAAAAAAGACATTGAGAAAAAAAATATAAATTTTGTTCCTATCTAAAAATTAAGAAGTTGAAGTTTTAAACCCAACACTCGAGGTGATGTGACACTACCATCTGAGATACGGTAGAGTAAACTGAAACGGCAGAAAGGTGAAAAACCAAAAAAAGTTGTCCTCTCCTTCAAGTGTCCGTTTCCCATATGCATCCCTCATTTTCCCACATTCCATTTTCTTTTTTATGTGTTATTTTTTCTAATTGTCATTGATTCAATGCAAAATTTCTCTTGGTTTCTCTTTTTGTTTGAAAAAGTCAGTTTCCTGTATTCGTGCGTCAAATGTGAGCCAAAAAGTTTTGAAAATCGCAGAACAGAGGCACAGGGAACCACGGGACCAGAAGAATGATTCATCTTATTTTTATAGCACTAATATTTGAAAATAGAAATAAGAAGAAATTTTGCATTGAAACAATGGTATTCTGAAAAAAAAATAGAGAAATGGATGAAAAAGTAGAAAAATTATACTGACGTTTAGGTGCAAAATTCTAACAAATCATTTTCAAGGACCAACAATTGTTCAAAGAACCATACTTACAGTAAACGCTCGAATAGAATGCCGCCCGAACCATAACTTTTGAGCTTATATATCTCACTTTCTGTGAAACATATCAAAAAGCGGTCAACTAATAAAATTTTGCTCATATTGTGATGAAAAATATTTCAGTTGACCACTTGTTTATACCCTTTGCAGAAAATGAGATATTTCGGCACAAAGTTGGATGACGTTCTCAAAGAGTGTTTTTACACATTTTGGAACCAAAATAATTTTCAAGGTCCAAAATGATCGACAAGAACTTTTGTTCTTATTGATTGAAAAGGGAAAGTTCAAACATATGTCTAGAGAAAGAAAAAAGATAAAAATCTGTATAAAATAATGCATTTCTCATACCACTGTTTGTTTTTCTACACCGTTTTTTTGTTAGTGTTCCTGTGTCTCTCACTTAGAAATGATAAAATTGCAACTAGCCAATGGGAAAAAGGCTGAGAAAATGACGAAATGAAAAAACCATGCTGAGAAATGAGAACACAAAAACGAACATCCGTGTACGCATAGAGTATGCGTCACGTGCAAAAAAAAAATATGAAGAAGGGCTTAATTTAGTATGAAAGACAGTTTTGAGAAAACAGGGTCGAGCTCACAATTCCAAAACAACTGATTATGATCAATTTCCATGTTTGATTAATGGATATCATATTTGCTCTGATAAAAGCTCAACCTTTCCCAAGATTTTAAGCTCAATTATATCAGTTCGTTGAAGAGTTATCAAAAGTGATCAACTGGTAAAGTGTTTATCATATTATCTCCAACATTTTTCTCAATTGAAAACTTTTTGGTATGATTTATGACAACCGAGATAATCAAACTTAGAGAGGGCGTCGGCTTCTGTTGGAGCAAACACGGGATTGTAATCAAAGAAGGCGGGAACTTATTTTGAGTGATTTGATGACAGATCTTCTGTTAGTCTTTTTAACCGTATTTTACATGGTTTCAATACAAAAAATTACAGTAACCTTTGAAATCTGACAAGAACCTCAAACTTATGCTTTTTTAACCGGTATTTGGCAGTGGAAAGGACCTTTGATCGGCTTTTAACCAGCTCGAAATGTCGGAAAGATTATTTGAAAAGATAATGAAAAAAACTTATCACAATTTTCATCTAAAGTTGTACTTGTGTGTTGCGTGCTTGTCTTGATCCTGAGACTGCTGATAAAATCTGGAAGTGTTGATTCAAGACGAACCATTGTCGTTGCTTTGTGAAATGTACCTGGAAATTGCAAACAAAAAAGAGTATTTTTTTTTGAAAGAAGATTAAAAGACATTCGAATTTTTCGAAAACAAAGGTGAAAAAATGGAATGGATTTAGACAGGTACTTTTTTTTCCTGAATTCCAAAAATAATTTATTGTTTTTTTTTTCCGATATTCAAATCGTGTTTAAATTTGTTTCAATTCTGCATTCATCTGATAAAAATTGAATCTTTTCTGCTGGTTTTCTTTAAGAATTAAAACTTTGTTGCGCAGTTTAAATTAAACTTTTTATAATAATCACATTTTTAGTTATTTTATTTAAATCTTATCACATGCTTTTGGAAAACAGACGATGCAGAACTCGTCCAAAAAACCTCAAAGATTGTGTTCAGAAGAAAACCTCTGTTTTAAATTACCGCGCTTGTTTTTCGGCGGATGGCCTAGAAACCTTCCCGCTCTTCCATCCCCTTTTTTCTTAATGAAAAGGCATAACGAGATCATTTAAGTGAATTTTATCAGATTTTCACCAGATTTTGGTCGCCTTTTCTGCGGAAATGTGTCAAAAACAATTTTAAAAGTAAGTTTTTTTTTTTCAATTAAGTGATATAGTTCGTTAGTAGTCAAAAACTATGAAAATATATCATTTGTTATTGTGTGCGGAAGAAACCCTCACTTTTGAATAACCGCGCTATGTCTCGCCGGCCACTGGCCTAGAAACCTCTGTGGCCTTGCACTTGTTTTTGTTGCGACGGCAAAACGAATTCAAATGATTAAATTGAGAATCGTCGGATTTTTATCAATTTTTCTGCAATAAAAATCCGAAAATCAATTAAAAAGTGAGTTTTTCATTAAATCATGAAAAACGTTGGCAGAATGCGCTATTAACGAGCAACAACCGGAATCGAAAATTTAGAACAATTGTTCTTTTTACAGGCGGACAACGGAAAATGAATACCACTTCTTTGCGGAATTTCAAATTTAACTGATGGACTGAAGGTGTTTGTTGCACAGATTATAAGCCCTCCTCAAGACTCTAAATGATGAAGATTATTATTTTTGCTGTTATTGTTTGGATCAAAACTAATGATACTCTCCGAGATAAATTTTTTTGAAGATTCGAATGGACGGGAAAAGCACCAGCTGCATGTTTCAACAAAAGAACTCTTCAATGTGAATAAAGAAGCCTCTAAAATGGAGTATTTTTCCCTGCATGTATCTGATTCGCACTGCATTATTGGTGTTGAGGATTCAAAAGTTTGCACAATATTCGGAAAAAATTAGACATATTGTGAGTTTTTAAAATTGGAAGTTCTCCCGATTCTCAAAAATCCTATCTTTTCCAGACGCAAAACACTGGCTCGTGGAGCACTCTTAACATTTGAGTTTTTGGTATCAGTTTGTCGAAGATCAGGACGTTTCTCAATGCCACACATCACTACATCATCTCCTGATCATTCTTTAGAAAAAACTGGAACCTTCCACTCAAATTGAACAATCTTGCGAAGCGACGGATCAACGAATGTTGGCACGGATCACATGGAAATTCAAGGTTGTATCCTTTGGTGAGCTTAAAACAGTAGAAGAACAATTTCAATTCATGTTTTCCAGACACAAGAAAGTACATAAAAAGCGGGTGATGAAGGCTTTCACGGATCAGACTATCAGCAAGACCAGACAACTTGATTTACTCATATCTTCCAATCGTCGGAGAAACGCTGATCAAGAATGTATTCGCGTAATTTCGAGTGAAGAAAAACGCATGATCCTTCTCAAAAAGTCTTCGTTCCTGAATACCGGTCAAAGTTGTTCTGCAGTATCAAATCTGAAACGAATATTGAATATTGAATATTTCAAAACTTAATTTGATAACGTATTTTCTATTCCTGTTATAAATTTTCAAGCATCATTATCAAAAGAATCATTTAATTATTTTTCAGCAGTTCAGCAGTTCTCAGTTTTACACGAAATATACTCGTCTCAAATGTTTCAAAATCATGAAATTGAATTCGGAAAGCGATCTCAATTGTTATGCAGTCGAAATTCCAATTATTGTTGACGCAAATAAAGAAGCTGAGTGATGTCGTGAATCTCAAAACGTTCCTTACAGATGTACCTTGCAGCCGAGAAGTATCGAGGAGAACGACCATGTGTAACAAGCTGTTGGTTGGCAGAATTCTTCGAATCTAGAAAAACGTACTGGCTCTCTTCATTATCATAGCATGTCCAGTTACCGTGAATTTTCATTCATAGTCGAAAGCATATATCATGAACACCAGGAACATCTTCCATAGGGGTTTTCAACAATTCGAAACTGGATGACAGATGATATGATCGAATATGTGTTGCGAAACGAATTTCCATTCTTCCGACATCATTTATTTGAAGCAGCTCTCTTGTTGAAGCAATCAATTGTTCGTGTTTTACGTTCACTGTAACCTGAAAAAATGTCTATCGGAGAGTACCATTAGATTCATCCCAATAACTAACCGCAGTCTAGTACACAGTTGTATAGAATTTTCGCATTTTACACGAAACATGTAGAATCCAGATTTTCCAATAAATACTCCTTATTCAGCACTTGGTTAGCTTTTCACATTGTTCATTGATTCCTGAGCGCTAACGCTGTTGAGTAGCCATCTTAAATTTTTTTGGTGCAATTCGGAAGAGTGCGATTCGGCAAAGAAGTGGTCTCCGTAATGTGCTGTCTGCCTAAAATATGAATATTTTCACTGATTTATCAATTTCCGCTCAATTTGTGCGACAGTTTGTGCGACATTTTTTAATAATTTAAATTGGAAAAAAAACTCACTTTTGAATCAATTTTCGTATCTTTATTGCGAAAAAGATGATTGAAATCTGATGAGTTCCGGTAAAATCATTCGAATTTGCTTTCCCGACGCAATAAAAGAAGTGCAAGGCCACAGCGGTTTCTAGGCCAGCGGCCGGCAAGACACAGCGCGGTTATTCAAAAAAGAGGTTTTGTTAAGCATACAATAACAAATGATATATTTTTATAGTTTCACTGCTACTAACGAATTCTACCATTTTTTGAGAGAAAACTTACTTTGAATGTGTTTTCTACCCATTTTCGGATAACAGTCGTGAAAATCTGATAAGCTTTAATTTGATGCTTTCAGAATGCCTTTCCATTAAGAAAAAGAAGGTGAAAGAGCGCGAATGTTCCTAGGCCAGCCGCCGCAAAATAGCGCGGTTATTCAAAATAGAGATTTCCTTCAGCGCACAAAATCGTATGATTTATTTTCATAGTAACGAATTCCACCATTTTTTCTAACATGAGATTGGAAAAAAATCATTTAAAAGTTCATTTTCGACTTATTCTCTCAGAAAGATTTGTTAAAATCCAAGGAATTTCAATAAAATGATAATTCTTGCTAGATTTTTATCATGAACACGAAACAACAACATAAAGGAAAAAAAATCAAATTTTATTCACATTATTTTATTGACGAGGACATTGCATCCGGATCTTTGAAACTAAAACAAAAGACAAATATGGCTACGGGAATTGGAGCAAACTTAAAACAAGATCAGTGGCAGAAGTGGGTATTTGAAAACAATCAAAGCTATCGAGAACTATGAAAAAAAGGAACTTATAACATAAATAAATATAATTTCGAAAAATGAATAAAAAACTAAAATAATTACCAACAATATTTACAATTTTATCCAACCATTGAAGATCCACGCCCAGAAAAAGCCCTGAACACCCGTCTCCATAAGAAGTCCTGAAAATATATAGCATTTTTGTGTATTATATGAATATATTGTGAATTTCTTATTGAATTTCGAATTTCCTTTATCACGAATTCTCCATACTTAAAAATGAGTTTCGAAATTTTGTTTTCGATTTAATTTGGTCTAGATTTTTTTCTCAGTATAATTGATTCCAGAAATCAACTCACCTGTTTAAAAAATTTCATTTTGAGATTTTGCGTCCAAAAATCATAAAGAACACATTAGATGTACCCGTAATATGAGACCTTTGAAAAAATAAATTTTTCATTGAAAAATTTTTCTTTTCCATTCCTTCATATCTTCAATTTAATTCCAACAAAAATCAAAAAGGAAAAAAAAGGCCATCCATGCACAAGGAAGCCTGGAAAAAAGTAATTATACCGTCTTTCCTCTAATAGAAGCCCACCTCTATTTGAAGCTCAACACTAATAGAAGCCCACCCCGCGAGGTGCTTCGAAAAATAGAAGCCGCCCTCTAATAGAAGCCCATGGGCTTCTATTAGAGAAAACAGGTAATTCAAAATTTTGGGAACTGTGATTTAGAACTTGAAAATTTCTTAATTTTTGATCTACAGTATTCCTGAATTTAAAACTTTGAGATTCTAGAATCTCAGAATTTCATAAAATCGGAATTTTAGAGTTTAGAATTGCAGAATAAAAACTTCGAATTAAAAAAAAACACCGATGTTAAGAATTTTTAACTTCCGAATTGTCAAAACTCTGATTTTTTGAGCAACATTTTTTTTTGAAAATTATTAATTGAAAAATAGAAGTCCACCCTCTAATTGAAGCCCACCTCTAATAGAAGCCCAAACTGAGAGAGAGAGAGGTTGAAAAATATAAGCCCATGGGCTTCTATTAGAGGAAATACGGTATTTTTCAATAAAATTCGAAGGATAAAACTTACCAAGAAGAAAGAACCGTTTCGAAAGACTCTCCATCTTTCGTGTGCTATTTTTTGCAGCTCGTTTTTCGTGTTCTTCCTTGGTCCACGAACCGGCACCGCACTTTTCGGAAACGGCGAGAAGGGATGAGAGGAGAAGAAAAATGAGAAAGATAGCAGAAAACTGAGAGGGCTCATTTACTCTATGAAAATGTTACGTGCGTTCAGAAGAGCCACGCTTTTCTCTCCGTCCGGAAAATGTGGTGCCAGTCGGCGGATCAGGGAACAGCGCAACAAAAGAGCTGGCGAGAAATAGCGCACGGATGATAGAGAGTGTTTGCCACTCACTACACTGGCGAGAAGCACATTCATTTTTTAGTCTCCGACGTTACGATGTGAAGCTGCACTTGCTACTCGCGGTTCCGTTAAGTCTTTGGAGACAAATCTCTTTTCTTGGTAAGTTTTAACGTTTTATTTTTGATGAAAATCATAATTAAATTTTTCCAGGCTTCCTTGTGCATGGATGGCCTTCCTCTCCCTTTTGATTTTTGTTGGAATTCTTTTTGAAATTTAAAGGTATGCAACAAAAAGGTTTTCAACAAGAAATTGGTTTTTTTGAAGATCTCAAATTACGGGTTTATCATCTTATGGGTTTTTTATCATTTTTGGACGCAATTGCTTGGAATAGATTTTTTGGCAGGTGAGTTGGTTTCTAGAATTAAGCAGATTGATAGAAAACGTAAATCTAGACGAAAGCATATCAAAATCAAAATTCCAAACTTACATGTTAGAAAGATGAAATTTGGACTAAAATACGTTAAATTCAATCAATTCCAGACTTCATCAGTTGGCTTTGTGCCAACATATAAGAACCGAAGACTTGAGGTACGCATGTTGTCCAGTTGTTTGAAACTGTACCGAATCCAGTAAATCAATGTTTTTTATATTATTTTTCTTCCAATTAGTTTTTTGTCTTTTTTTGTTTCATAGCTTACTACTCGCATTCCCCTCCTCGAAACTCTTCGCTCTTCTCGAAATTACTATTTTTAATGTAAAAAAATACAGAAATTTTGAAGTAATATTAACCTAACATGCTGTTTAAATAAACATTAAGTTTGAAAGAAAACAAATGTTTTTTGGAAGTTTGTTCAGATTTACAGAGACCTTCTGAATCCGGGAAGAATCTCAGAATATCAGAATTTCAGAATCTTGGATACCAGAATATAAAAATTTCAGAATTTCGGAATTTCAGAATTTTCGAGTTTCTGAACTTCAGAACTTCAGAGTTTCAGAATTTCCGAATTTCAGAATTTCAGAATTTCAGAATTTCAGAATTTCAGAATTTCAGAATTTCAGAATTTCAGAATTTCAGAATTTCAGAATTTCAGAATTTCAGAATTTCAGAATTTCAGAATTTCAGAATTTCAGAATTTCAGAATTTCAGAATTTCAGAATTTCAGAATTTCAGAATTTCAGAATTTCAGAATTACAGTTAGTCAGCAATTCAATAAATGCACATATGTATATATATCATACTTGCAAAATCAGGGCCCGGCCCGTGTCTCCTCGGCCCGGCCCGGTGGGCGCGGGTTTCTTTAAATTTGAAAAAAAAATTGAAATTTCAGAAATTTTTTCTGAAAGAACTATTTTTTATGAACACACTTATCTAGAAAACTTTTTTCTTGTCAGAATAATCGTCCATTTTTTTTCTGTTGACCCCAAAAAATATTTGAATGACAGAAAAAATGTTTCCGAAAATCCGGGCCGAGGTGGGCCGGGCCGGGTCTTGGAAATTCTGAAAAAAGCCCGGCCCGGCCTGTTACAAGTAGGATATATGTATGAAAATATACAGGCATGCAAAAAAAATAAATGAAATATGCAGGCAAGCTGTATTTTCTTCTGATTTCGCATCACAAAGATACATCTTCTTCCTTTAATTTCACTTTTATGTTTTTCTCAATCACTGATGTCAAACATCGATATTCAAAAACTATGGTCTACCGTACTATTCATTGTTCTCCATTTTCATGCACCTGGCATCTGACTTAATTGTTCTTTGTTACATCTGATCGGTTTTTTTTTAGAGTTTTCGGTGACCAATTATGGGATTAGGGCAGGTGCTTACATGAAACAATTAACACCATTAGGAGATGATATCTTACAAAAAAGGACGGAAAAAGAGGAGGAGGGACATCTTACCTGTATATATAGCGGACCATTTCCTACAAACATGTCCATTTATTCTTTTCTAGGATATCAGGAAAGTGTTTCCTTCTGCGTGAATATCTGTTTTTTTTTCGATTATTATAGAAACACATACTCCTAATTTTCAGATTTTTCTCTTTCTCTACCTGACAATGAATCCTTGGAGAACCTCCCGTAGTAATAATGGATGGGTTTCTGAAACTTCTATTGAATATGGTATAGTAAAATGTTTAATTTCTTAAGTAAATCTAAATTGAATTTCCAGTCAATAAAAATGGGGCGAAGGAGGCTGTCATTGGCATACCTGCTAACACGACAGTTAAAATCACATATTATGCCAACAAACAGCGGAAACGTGTGAGTCGTGCATCAGGTCGCACATCACTTCGTACTTCTAGTGATACGTCCGATCAACAGTAAGAAACAAAGATTACTTTTAAATGTTCATTTTTAATAAGTTATAGAGTTCGTCAGCATTCTCGAAGAACAAATTCAAGACCAAATGAGAATCATCAGAATGGAGAACCATCGTCTTCTCGGAATTCGCGACTTCCTTCCAATCCTCACGCTGCTATTCCTTTATATACACCGTAAGTTACAACAATTTATAGTTGGCCAAAAAGTTTTAGGCATTTTTCAATGCTTTAGTCTTACCTAGACTATTCATCATTGTGGCTAGTGAATGTAGTTTTCAAATCTATCAGACAGATTGTTGAGAAATGAGTTTTGAAAATTTTTATACAAAGCTAATATTTATCGAATACCCCAAACCATTATTTTCATTGTAGCTATACTCCGCCGTACTTCGCAATGTCTCCTCGTCCAACAAATCATATACAAGAGCCATACATTTACATAAGGTAAAAAAGGATAACTTAGAAAAAATGTATTGAGCAATTTTCAGAGAGCAACTCCAGACGTGGAGATATGCTCCTTATCATCTACGGTTTGCAAGCCGGGGTTCGACACAGCCAGCATTCCCAATCTCCACAGAGCATGTTGTCGAGCCGTCGGGAGCAGCAATCGTAGAATTACCTGGTCTCGAAGTTCGATATCATGATGAAAACATTCGAAAATTCTATAATGACACTGCACCACCCAAACCATAGGAAGCTGGTATCATATTTCTGAATAGCTTGTCAAGTTCATTAATTTGTATACCAAATACTAAAAATACTCCTTTTTCAACTGAAAATTTCCAAATGACGGTTGTTTGAAATATATTCTATATCCCAAAAGCTTTAATATATTAAATATTTTTTCATTTTCTAAATTATAAGGTGAAAGTCAAATTCCCTGGAACAATATCACATCGTTAAAAAAAATCTTAAAATTTTTCATCATGTTGTTTTTCGGAAATTTTGCTGCATTTGTTCCGATTTGATCTTTTTCTTTGAACCAATCCACTCTTCAATAAAATTTTCATAACTTTAATCTCAATTTCGGCCCATAGTAGATTACAGTTTCCTTATCTAGCATCTTGAGTGTCCAATTAGGCATGCAGATGTTCTACCTTGACGAGATACTGTCAGTAGCACCTTCATAAGACACCATTATAATGAGACAAACGTGTTCATAATTAGCAAGAACAAAACCGCTGGTGTGTCAGATGCTGAGACATATGGGGGAGTAAAAGGGCAGCGATAAGACGTGGCTCTTTTGTTATGTCTTTGCGCAGGTGCTCCTCCAACAGCTTATTTCTCTCTTTTTGTAAACTGACGATATACACTACTGATAAGAATCCGGCTCTTTTCTAGTTTAGAGGTCCCAAAAAAGAATAGAGGTCCCAAAAAAGAATAGAGGTCCCAAAAAAGAATAGAGGTCCGAAAAAAAATTAGAGGTCCCAAAATAAAATAGAGGTCCCAAAAAAATTAGAGGTCCCAAAAAAGTTTAGTGGTCCCAAGAAAAAATAGTGGTCCAAAACTTAAAAATGCACAGATACCGGAATAATGTACTAAAATTTGAATTGTGTAAGAATTTAAAGTTTTGAGGTCTTATAGCAAAATAATTGTGATGATATATTTTATACTTCTAATAGGCTTAGGAATGCATATTTTCTGACAATTATCTAAGCCTGAGAGACAGCATAATCACGGAGTCATTACTGTATTGCCCAAATTTTCCTCATATGTAAATTGGGTTCATCGGCAAGATGCGAGAGAATTGGAGCTAAAATTGTTAGGAGTAGTCATGTCATCCTATAAGACCCTAAAACTCAAACTCGCACAGTTCAAATACTAGTACATTATTCCAACATCTGCGCGTTTTTCGTATTTTGGACCTCTATTTTTTCTTGGGACCTCTAAACTTTTTTGGGACCTCTAATTTTTTTTGGGACCTCTATTTTATTTTGGGACCTCTAATTTTTTTTGGGACCTCTATTTTATTTTGGGACCTCTAAACTAGAAAAGAGCCTTTGAAAAAAACTAGAAAAGAGCGTTAGAAAAGAGAAAAGATTTTTAACCTTTTTTAATTGATTCGAGTTTGTTTTTTTCTTAATTTACGAATCGAGAAATTGGAAAAAATTGATACTTACATTCAAATGGTTGTTATCGGAAGCATTTTTTAATCATCAAAGTCAAGACTGTGATGTGAAAATTTTGTCTTTTTCTCAAAAAAGTATATTCCTTGAATTAATAGAATGTTGTGGCCCATCCCACTTATGCATCCTTCCATTTTTCTTCTCATTTGAACTCATCCTTAACCTTGGTTTTCCTCAACAGTGAGCACTGTACAGAAACCTAGAATTATTCCAATCTAACGTGAATTATAGGATGAGAGTGGGTCGCTTCTTGAAATAGGGAGAATGGGAGGGGGCGTTTGTTCATATTTTGGTTTTTATTGCCTTCATATGTTGTAATATCTCAGATGCTTTGTCCTTTTAAAAAATGTAGTATTTTTTTCAATTTACTTTCCGTTTGTTTAGATATTTTCCCATTTTTTCAACGTGATTTTTCAGACTTTCATTTTTTACAGTGTTAGAAAGCGTGAAACTTTTCCTGGTCATCGGGAGGTGCTAATTCAATGATAGAATATAACCCGAATTATGGTACGTTCTACCAATTCTACAAAAAATAAAGATAACAAAAATCAAGATATGTTTAGCCATTCCCAATGATCAGACTCTAGATTCTTTCTACCAAGGATCAATGGAGGTACCTATTGCTGAAGCAACCTGGTATTCGCAATCCGGATCTGTACAGACTTGAGATTAAAAAAATTGACTTTTCATTTTGACTGTGAAAATTACAGAAATCTACCAAATGGGATATTTTCAAATAGGTACGCTGGATTCAACCAAGAAGTCCTTGATACCAGCATTGCTTATTCGCTAACGCCACAACCAGCGTTCTCTTCATTTCCAAACAATCATACGATGCCTGAACTTCCAATGAACTGTCACGAAGATCATTTCAGTGGTCCAATTCATTACTGCAAAAATTTATATTCCCAAAACTCAACACCGTGTCTCTACAGCAGAAGGTGGATTTGAATGACGGACAAAAAAATTGAACCAGTAATGTTTCAAATTTACAGATATCCACCCACCTCTTACTCTCACAATCAGATTCCTTATACCAATCAGCCACCGAAAATTCCAAATCCGTTACATTTGCCTCAATATTCACCAATTTTTCATTATCACAAGGAGCCTCATCAATCATCTGCCCCCGAAAACCGCCGACTTCCGAAGAGTCGGTGGCAGTGCTTGAGGGACTGTACAAAAATAAATCTCAACTTGATATATTCGAAAAACGAAAAGTGAGCGAGGCAACAGGTCTTACGATAAGACAGATCCATTGCTGGTTTGCTCGTCGTCAAGTGAAAATCATCAAAGAAACTGGACGATCCAGAACAGAGTTACAATCAGAAATGGATTTTTCATTTTGAAAAAAAAGAGTTCTTTATTTTGTATAACATCACTGTTTTTACTCTTCCTTATTCTCACTCAAAAGATACAAAAATACTTTAGTTTTAAGGCTGTTAAAGCATGTAAATCAACTAAAACGTTTGAAAATCCGAATGTGTTATTCTCATAAGACACACCTTCTATTTTTCATTCTTATAAGACGCAATGCCAGATTACACCAATTTTCCATTCACATCCTTTATTTTTTAATTCATTCTCCTTTTTAATTTTCATGTTATTGCAACATTATAAACTTATTAAAGTAGGCATATCCTTCAATCTTGTTTGTTTTTGAAACTATTGGAAGACCTTCATTATTTCTAAAAATGGTAATCACTAAAGTAACAATCAGGCTTAGTCGGAATCGGAAAATCGAGTTCTCGATTTTTCTGATTTTCCGATTTTTTTTCGGAAAATTTTCCGAATTTTTTTTCGGAAATTTTTTTCCGTCGGAAAATTTTTTCTCGAAATAATCATGCTGCGTTCAAAGTGAAGAGGAAATCTCTACTTTGTATAGTTGAAACGGGTGCAACAGTAACCCAAGCGCGGCGAGACCCGCAATCGGTGTCGATTTACGGGGTCGATTTAAGGTGAATTTTTTCGTTTTTTTTTCTGCTCCTGCAACAACGGCCGAAGCAGAAAGGTTATTCTCGTCGGCGAAAAATATTCTCACAGATAATAGGAAATTACTGAACGCAGAAAATTTTTCCAAACTTCTTTTTTTTGAACAGAATGTAAAATTGATGGGATTTCATCAACAAAATTCAAAAAATAATTAATAGTTTTGTTACTTTTTGTTACTTGTGCTTGTTCATCTATTGTTTTCCATTTCATTTTTGTGCTTTTTGTTGTTTTTGTTGTTTTTGTCAAATAAACTGGTAATGTTTGACTAATTGAAATTCGAGAAAATTCGAGAACTCGATTTTCCGAAAAAAAAAGTCGAGAAAAAATTCGAGAACTCGATTTTCCGAAAAAAAAAGTCGAGAAAAAATTCGAGAACTCGATTTTCCGAAAAAAAAAGTCGAGAAAAAATTCGAGAACTCGATTTTCCGAAAAAAAAAGTCGAGAAAAAATTCGAGAACTCGATTTTCCGAAAAAAAAAGTCGAGAAAAAATTCGAGAACTCGATTTTCCGAAAAAAAAAGTCGAGAAAAAATTCGAGAACACGATTTTCCGAAAAAAAAAGTCGAGAAAAAATTCGAGAACTCGATTTTCCGAAAAAAAAAGTCGAGAAAAAATTCGAGAACTCGATTTTCCGAAAAAAAAAGTCGAGAAAAAATTCGAGAACTCGATTTTCCGAAAAAAAAAGTCGAGAAAAAATTCGAGAACTCGATTTTCCGAAAAAAAAAGTCGAGAAAAAATTCGAGAACTCGATTTTCCGAAAAAAAAAGTCGAGAAAAAATTCGAGAACTCGATTTTCCGAAAAAAAAGTCGAGAAAAAATTCGAGAACTCGATTTTCCGAAAAAAAAAGTCGAGAAAAAATTCGAGAACACGATTTTCCGAATTTGTTTTTCCGAACAAGCCTGGTAACAATTTTACGTTCTTTTTTGAAGGATAAAAAAGTCGGAACTATCTAAAAGTAGCATGTTTGGCCCTAAAAATTGGTGTAATAGAAAAAATGGTTTCTCGAAAATACACGAATAAAGCAATAAAATAATAAAAAAGGTTTTCAACTAAAAAAATTGAGCAAATCATTTTAATCCAAAAAAAAAACTTTATTGAGTTTCTTTCTACAATTCTGAACAATATTTCTGAATTAAATCAAAGAACAGCAAAAAAACCAAAATGTAAATGCTTTCCCAGGTTTTATGTCTATCAGACTGTGTTTGTTCGTATATGTTGTCCAGTAGAAAACCACAATTTACACACAGTTAACATTTTTCAAACATTCTGCTCCTTTTTCGAAAATCTGGTGATGTTAGTTGCTTTTATTTTTTTACAGTGAAACATTTCAAATTCTATTCAATTTTGTATCAATTCCTCATTTTTTTCAGTTTTCGAAAACACGAAAACATGGAAAATACAAAATCCGATGAGTCATGTTTCTGATCTTATTTTGAAAACAGGCCTTCAAAAATTATTGAAAATCGATTTTTTCGTAAAAAAACAGCTATGAGTCACCCTCGTGTATCCCTGATTGTTTCATAGTCGGAGAGGCTTCCCCTCCAGTTGGACCTTTTTTATAATATTTTTCTGGAACAAATCAGATTTTTTCTAAACTGATTAAATTCTAAACTGATACTTAAGTTTCGATAGTAAATTTTCTATTGTTGGTGTATTGAAACACTAATAAATACATTTTTTTCACGGTTTTATGATAGTTGTAGAGGTCGTTTTTCGAACGCATTTTCCTTTTTTTTCAGTCTAACAAAATTATGTGTTTCAAAAGAACAGTCTTCATTATTTTCTGAAAATTTTGTCGCAGATATTTCTCTGAATCCCAAAATAATCGATTTTTTTTGTTTTCAATAAGAACAGTTTCTTAACATTAAACTCAAACAAGTATTTTTTTCCACTTCCAAAATCCATTTTCTGTGCTAAATGTCATCTTTCTATCCCCATTTCCACTTGTTTTCGATTGTGCAACATACAGGTAATAGTGAGGACAGAAAATCAATGAAAATATTCTTCTCTCTCATTCTCATAATTTTTGAATAAATCGAGTTACTTTTGTATGATATTTATATTTGTTTTTGAAGAATGAGTTCTTCTTCTTCCTCATCCTTGGCAACGTCTTCAAGAAGATGGCCGAATCGAAATATGCAATTTGTCGCATCTTTATTGGCCATTGGGAGTAGCTTCTCCTTCGGTTTTCAAATGATGTGGGTGAACCCAGCTCGGGAGGCACTGATGGAAGTATGTTTTATGGCTCAAAGAAAAATATGTGAACCTGATCACGAAATTTCAGTCACAAAAAAAGTTTATCTGTCAAAGGTTTATTAGTCTATTAGGGTTTCTATACTATAATCATTTGGGCAGTCGACTGGGGCATATTAGGTACAAAAAATAGGGGAGAAGGGAAAATCCGAAAGATTTGTAGAAAGTCTACTATCTTTGAGAAGTAGGCGAAACCGGGCTATTCATAGACATTGGTTTGGCGCCACTTGTCTGGTATTCTGCAAATTCGGTGGTTGAATACGTAAGGCGTTACCATCATTTGGGTACTGCAGTTGCGAAAAGTTGTTGCAAATTCTATGGAACGTCTTGTTTATGTCCCTCCCACCTGTTTTATTTTCAGTTCGTCAGAGCCACCATAGACCAAGAGGAGGCCTACGAGGAATATGCCACATTTCTCTTTGACACCGCCATGGCTATCTTTTTTGCCGGGTCCATTCTTGGAGGCTTCGTCATCCAACCTGCCGCTGAACAGTAAGTTTTTTCAAAATAGAGAAATTAGAATTTTGTCTGAAATTTCAGTTTGGGACGGCGAAGGGCTTACATGGTTGGTGTGATCACGTATATCGTTTCATGTGCGATTACTATTCTGGCAAAAGAGGTATTTCTGCATTTTGTATTTCATTCTATTTTTTCTTGCAGTATGTGAGCTATACGATGTTTACAACTTCTCGCTTTGTTAGCGGATTTGGTATTGCTATCTCGATGGGATTATCGGCAATCATTACCATTGAATGCAGGTAAGTAATATTTTTGTCAAGTTCATAAAAGTAGTATTTATTTTCATTTGTCTTGAAATTACTTCTCACCATATTGACATTCACACTGCTTGCCAATATTCCATTTTCCTAGTGATCAATTTAGTTAGATATGGCCGATTTAAGTGCCTACAAAAGTACTTATCATTTACCTGTTTTTTCTGAAAAATGCATGGGTTATGAAACACGTATGGAACTTCATTTTTGTAGTTGACAACTTTTTTGTATTATTACTTGTCGAAAAGATATTTTATGTAATGTATTCACTTTTTCACCAATTTCAGTATTGGTTTTCTAAATATGACATACATGACGTATCTCTTCAGTAGCTAATTGTACAAAAAAGTTGTCAACTACAAAAATAAAGCTCTAGATTTGTTTTATAATCCATGAATGTTTAAGACTCATCGGGCAATCAATAAGTACTTTTTTGGAAAATTGCCCATTTTTGACTAAAAAACCAAATTAGACCTAAGTACGTATTTCAAAATCTTTATTTATGATAAAGTTCAATTGTATGATTTGATTTTTACCATTCATATTTTCAGTTCCGCTGAAACCCGCGGCGTCGCCTCGTTGGTCAATGGCCTCTTCCTGCAAGTTGCTCTCGTCGTGACCTCAGTGTTGGCCATGCCATTTTTGCTAGGGAGCACGTGTCTCTGGGAAATATTATTCTGGTTCCAAATCCTCCTCAACGTCATCGTACTGATCGTAGTTTTGTACATCCCAGAAACGCCGACGTATCTTGCCAGTCATAAGACAGATGACGAGAAGAAACTTGAAGAAGACGTCACCGAATCTTTGGTGTTTTTCAGAGAAATGGATGAAGACGATGCTCGTTTGGAAGCCAGGAGAATCATCGATTCTTATCATTGCTCTCAAAATAAAAAACCCAACCTCGTCACCCTCTGGAAATGCAAATTCTCTGCCCGCGGAACACTTATTGGAATGCTCATTATGGGCGCAATGGCGCAGTCCGGAATCACCATTATTAATTTTTATGCAGTTAGAATTCTCACATCGACTGGATTGAACACGAATAATGCTTCAATCGCAAATTCGTTCCTCTGCTTGTTCGCCATCGCTGGTATTGTTACCGCTTTTTTCATTGTGGACAAGTACGGTAGAAAGAAGCTGATTTTGGTGACTTTCATTGCTTTGATCGTTATCAACATCGGAATTGTCGGACTTCTGTTTCTATGCTCCAATTTTCCAGTAAGCCTGTTATTCTTCCATTAATCATTTTTAAAACTAGCTGTTTTTCAGCACACCGTCTTCAATTGCATGTTGATCGGAGCCATCTGCCTCTTCAACTTTTTCTTTTCAATGGGACCTGGACCACTGTCAATGTTTATCGCTGGAGAGCTGGTTCCACAGCAAACAAGATCTGCTGCTTCTATTTATACCAGTGTTACTATGGCCATGTCGTAAGTTTCTTGACAGTCAAAAAATGAAAAATAGGCAATTATTTCAGTCGCTTTCTCACTCTGGTTTTCTACACTCGATTCCAAAAGATGACTTCAGAGGCGATCGCATTTGGATTGTTTTTCTTGCCCCCAATGGTACTTTTTTCGCAGTTTTCTTCTCCCAAAAATCATTTATTTCCAGATTATCGTGGTTGTCATTCTTCATCGCTATCTTCCGGAGACCAAAGGAACTACTGTAGAGCAACTTCAAGCCGAGTTTAATGCTAGCAGTCAGAGGGAGAATACAGACGAAATTGAAATGCTGGATGTTCAGAACTAAGTTTTCGAAAATGTTTTTTTTTCAAAGAGTTCATAAGAATGTCCAATAATCTGATTTCTTTTCAACTTCAATTTTTTTATTAATTTTTCAAAATCCTTATCATCGGTTTTTTCGAATTCTGATCATTGTCGTCTTATCATTGTAGAATCCCGATCATCAATCATACCGGTTTCACTTTTTTTGTGTTTATTTTCTAATAAATAATACTTCAATTCAGAACTTTTAATAATGTCAAGAGTTTTCACGAAAAAAATCATTTTTAAAACCAAAAATGCGCAATTAAGATTTGGGGAATCGTTATAACACTCCGTTTTCAGATCAGTTCCCCCGAAAATTCAAAATTTTTCATCCGAAACAGTACAATGTTTCCAGAAAGTCATATTAACCAAATCACTGCATCTTCTTGTGGTCGGAGTTAATTATGAACCATGATCTGCTTGTCATCGATACTTTTACGATATCCATCTGCCGCTTCCCACGTTTTTGTTCCTTTGAGCGGCTGTGAATAACCGGCGAGCGGCACCCGCCAGACATCCGTCAAGCAGGCGTTACTTTGGGGAAAGGACAATAATATAAACAGTAAATGCGGTAATAACAATGTCGAGCATTTGCAACATCAGTGACACTATTCTAATCTGTCGGAAAAAGAAAACAGTGTAGTTACTTTTCTATTTTTAGAGCATAATGTTAACTACGCCTTTACTCAAAATTGGTTGACATTCTTTCTCTTCTAACAGCTCACGTGTGTTTCTTTTTCCCTCATTTACCTATTAAAAATTCTGATTTCTATATAGCGGCGTAGTTGGTAGTACGGTACCTAGAAACTTCAACATTGTTTTTTATTAATATATTTTTAGGTGAGCAAATTTTGAATTCAACATCTCCTGTTATCAGATTTTAGGAGAACTGTTACCTAAGTTGATCTGAAACTTGAAGCCCAATTGAATTGCATCATTTTTTGTATTTAGTCCAACAGAGACTTTGATTCCCTATTCAAATTCCCTATTTATTGACATTTCCATTTTATAATTTTCCAGTTTTTTTTGGCTCCATTCAAATTCAGAGAAAGATAAAAAAAGGAATTAAAAGTCTCATTTTTCTTATGATTCACATGACATATGATGAGAAAACCGTTCTTTTTTCTCAGCGTCTCTCATACTCTGTTCCTATATAGATGCATACATTATTTTCGCTCGTGTTTGTTTCAAATTTTTATGGGTTTTTGTAACTGTTTTTTGTACTATTGCCATTATTCTTTTTTAGGCCTCCATTTCGAATCAACGGCTCTTTCTTGAAAAAAACGTTTTTAGAAAAGTGCAAACAACTGTGAAATCGTTTGTGTTATCTTTCGGTAATTTTATCCCACACATGATTTTCGCGACCTAAAAACCCAAATTTTACAAAAATCCCTCATGTATGTCTTATCCTCACTTTCTCCTCTTTTTTTATACATGTCTATAAAATTTTCTCCATTTTCAGATGTCTTCTGAAATCGCGCAAACAGCCAAGGAAAAGCAGCCATCGAGAAAGCAGTCAACGAGAAAAAAGGCGACGAAAAATGACTCAACGAAAGCTCGAAACGTTTTGAATGGAACAAGGAAGAATGCTCGAAAACCGAAAAAATGTATTCTTGATGAGGTAATTTTTTGTAAATTTATAAATGAGAAAAAACTCTCGAGCCTAAAAATTAGAGAAACCGTACAACGTGCATCAGGGATGTTGAATGGCCTTTTCGGAATTTTTCGAAATGTCGAAAATTCCGGTTTTTAAAATCTCGGAATTCGGAAATTCGGAATTCCCCGATTTTCAAAAATTCGAAATTTTTAAATTTTCGGAATTTTGGAAGTTTGGAAATTTTTCAAAATTCGAATTTTAAAGCGGAAATTCCATTTTACAAAAAACGCCAAATCACAAAAACGCCAAAATTTTTTGAAAATTGACAGAAAGAATTCGACAGGGCAAAAAACATCAATATTAATTCTGTCCGAGACCCGCAAGCAAATTTTTCTTGGCATACCGTAATAGAAAAAATTATAATTTTGAAAAAAAGCTTCGGAAAAATTCCGGTCGGAATTTCTTTCCTTCTTATTTTTATGACGGATAACAGTTTCCCGAAAAAAAAAACAGAAAGAAAATTGTCACCTCTAAGTTCAGATACTGTATCAGCCGAAAGTAGATTTTCAAAATAAGGCTTCCATTCTATCGGGAAATTTAGCGGACCGAACGACCGACCGACCCTGTCGACCGACAGCTAACCGAGCTGACCGATCGGTCGGCGTGCTGACTGTTTTTGTGCATTTGCGGGTCAACGTGTTTGCATAAGCAGCATTGTATTTTACGACAACGGTTATTAAATACCTCCATTGACGTAAAATGAAATACTACCGCACGGAAATATCGTAATTTGTTGCTCAAATGTGCGAAAATGGTTGGCGGGATTGGTGGTCAGTCGGCGGTTGGCGATTTTCGCCCGACCGAAATGGAGGCCTCTTTTCAAAATTGACACATACAATATTAAAATAATGGACAATAACATTTGTCGATAAAAAACACTTTTATAGTTTCGATTTTTTGTAATTTCATAAATGTCGACGAAAGCTAGGCTGTCGAAAAAAAGGCGACGGTTTTGTACAAGGTACTTTTGTGGTAGGTAGAATTCGACGTCTTTCAAAGTTTCTGTTTAGTGTTTTGACCAGATATATCAATAATCACTTCAAAAACATATTCAGAAAATTGCTATCTCAACTGCTTCAACATCCGAACCACCACAGACTTCAAAAAAGACCAGAGTTACTCCAAAATCAAGAAAAGGCGCAGCAGATAAGAGAGCTGGACGCTCATCTCGTCCAAGGAAAAGCGCTGCGGTGAGTATAAGTTTATTTTGCTTTATCACTTCTCTCAAATTATAGTTTAGCACCGTCGGCTGCTCAACATGTTAGAGGAAATCTTTCATAACTCTTTTAAATTCAAAAAAAGCATTATTTTGAGAAAAAAATTAATGAAAACATACTGAAATCCTCAATTACAGGAAAAATGTTCTCTTTTCTCCTTAAAAAGCTATATTTCAAACTATCTTCCTTATACTTTAGAAGTCTTTGAACATGCAATACATTTTTGAGATTTTAAGTATTTCTTGACCGAAATTGTTTTTTTCCCAGAAGTAAGATATGACGATTTGGAGGAAATTTTATTCGAGTGTTTATGGTGAATTCAGAAAAAATGATTGCATAATTTTAATTTTAAACTCGGCCTGTCATTTAGTCACATTACGTTTCAATGAAAAATATCTAAACTATTGCTTCGCGAAAAAAGAAAACCAAAACATGGGCATATTTAGGAAAAACAGGAAGAAATTGATCACATGAGTTGGAAAGGATTGCTTCTTCATGAAATTAGTGAAATCCTTCGTCAAAATGGCCATTCGGGCAGTTTGGACACGTAAGTACTCAACATTCTTCAGTCATTCCCATTCATCATAACCTTCAGATCACCTCACATTTTAACTGCTGCCGCATTTATGCTGTCTGGTGCTACCTCAAATTATACGCCACACTTATCGGTGAACTATCAACTTAACGAGGATGACGAGGATGAGATGTTAGATAAAATTGAAGTTTATCTTGAGAAAACTGGAGTTATCCAGTAAGTGATAAAATTCTTATGTTAATTTTCAATCACTTCATTTTTCAGAGGAGAGCCATGCATCATTCAAACGCTCACACAATTGAAGTTCATGATTGAAGATATTGTACAACGGAATTCGACGACATGAATATGTCTGGATTAAATTTTTAAACGATTTTTGCAAAAATTGCAGTACCCGAAATGAGTAACTTTCTTATAGCGATAATTTTCATTCATCAACCCCTCTCTCTCTCTCTCTCCACCAGTTCAAATAATAATCCTTTACTTAATCGAAATTTCTTAACTTTCTAGACCAGTTGTTGTTTTTTTTTTATTTTATGTTTTCTTAAAAATTTTTTTGAGTCCCTCACTTATTCCCTTGTCCACTGGTTTTGTTATTCTATGAAATTTTCTTTTTTTCACAAAATGTCCATATCGCAATGCGGTTTTCGTCAAAATGAAAAAATATTTCAGCACAGCGAACAATGTTATTGATTTGGTATCATTTTATTTGAAGCAAATAAATCCAGTTTCTGTAGAAGACAAGAATTTTTTTGATGCAATAAAAAATTTCACCGTACACCACCTTTAATTTAGTTTGAAATCTATATGTATTTAGTTATCATGTAATTTGTGCCAAAAAGTTTTTGTTTAAAAAGTTTTTCCAATAAGATCAGTTGATTAACACTTCTCTAAAAACCAGAATGAAGAGAGGAACAATTAATTTTTTTTGTGACTGAGAAACAGATTAATCTTTCATGATCTAAAAATTCCCTTTTTTCAAATTTTTTAAAATCAAAAAACTATGGTTCCCATGATCAAAGTACAAAAAAACTCAATTTTCATTTCTCAAGAGTTATCAAATTCTCAACCTCCCCTTTCTGAGAAAAGTCTTCTAGTTCCCATCTTTGACAAAAATTGTGCCGACAACCATATAAAAGCAGAGCACAGCAGCCCAAAATACCAGATCGTTCGAGAATGAAGATCCTACTTCTTTTCTCGGCTTTTGCCGTTGCTGTCAACGCCGTCCAATGGAGTGAGCTTGATTTCTATAACATGCTTCGTCGCGATTTCGCCAAAACCAATGCGATTCCTGACATGTGGAAGTTGGTGAGTTTCAAGATCTTCAGAGAGCGTTTTCAGATAGTTAAGATCATGATTGTTTTAATTTAGCATATTTCAGACTTGGGACAAGAAGTTGGAGGTGCTTGCCAACAAATTCGACTGCAATGATAAGGCTGTGAGGAAAAATTACCGTTATTTCTTGACAGATGGAAGTCCACGCAATGAGTCCAAAATTGTCGACGCTGATACGCTCAATTGGATGATAGAGACTGAAAAGACAAATCCTGCTGAACTAACGAATACGGTAAAGGAGTGGGAAAAGACGACAGCTCGATTCTTCGAGTACGTCAACATATCCAAACCAAGATGGCTTGTGGTTTTCCTCTTCCCCACTGCAAGCGCAATTTCGGCATAATGGGAGACATTGTTTACAAACGTGTTTGTCTTTTCGGACCTCAGTGAGTTTGCAAATGTTTTGAACTCTTCAAACCAATTCAATATCTAGTACCAAGCTCGGATTCTACCCACCAGTCGACCAACACTCGGGAAAAATCCCTGGATCGCAATGTGGGCCAAACGGAAAGAACGATGATGGACTCTGCGTTCCTAAGTGATTGATGTCTTATTTCATTAATAAAGTCTTATAAGCAAGCAGTAGTGTGTGCCATTAGAAACAGTAGTGTGTGGCATTAGAAGTTTTTGACAGACTCGTTTCCTAAAACGTAACTAGACCATTTTCAATGACATTTAGTCTTCCATTCAACAGATAATTCACTATTTAGAAAACTTATAAAACGTTGGCTAGTCTCATTAAGTATTATTTTACAAAAGTACATTTGACAACAACACTTATTGTCAAACAAGGAATCTTTTCATTCAGATTCGAAAAACAAAATATTTAATATTTTGTGCACCCTTGTCCGTAGTATTGTTTGACCAGACGGGCTGCAGATCCGATTGGTATGTCGGTTTTGATCTGAAAACAATTCATTTTTTAAATGTTTAATCAAATATCTGAAACTCAATTTAACTGAAGCATCGAGAAGATTTTCATAAAAATAAAATTCAGCTTCCAATAAAAATACTGTTAAAAACATAACACAGATCTTCAATCAAACAATGATCTTGCATTTTTTAGATGGAACAGGATATATTTAGGTAAATTTCAGAAAAATAGTCACTAAATTAGGGGGCTCCATACACGAGGTGCCAACATCGGGAAATCAAATAAAAATGAGGTGTGAACGATCATGAAAAAAAACAACGAGGCATAAGGATTAGAATATGTGGGCAGGTGGGAAAGAGAGCTAAGTGAGGACGAGAGAAGCAGGTAAATGAAGTTATTAAATGTCATGTGGACTCTAAATGAATTTCAAAATTAGAATATGTATAAGGGTTTTCAGGAATCAGGTGATACTGAGCTTACATGGAAAGACTCCCAAGTGTTGCCCTCGAAAAAAATTGAGACGTATATGGTTAAAAAGAGCGTAAAAAGTTATTTAAGAATCCGAAACAAATAATTGATAAAAATTTTTTTTGGTGAGTTATTGCCCAAAAAGTACCAAAACATGGCTAAATTTTCAAAAAATCATAACTTTGTCAGTTTATGTTCGGTTGCTAAAGTTCAAAAAACAGTTGATAGACAAACAACTAAACTTTTGAATAAAATTTTTTTATTTTTTTCCTATTGATTGGGTTATTGATTTTTGAAAAAACCGAAAAAATTAAAAAAAAAACCGAAAATTGATTTTTGAAAAAACCTATCCTCTAAGAAAGGCTCCGTGACGGGATCATTGATCCCATGCTCAAAATTATTTCTCGTTTTGTTCCTGAATTCTTTTCAAAATGGCTAACAAACTAGAAAGAAATGTTGTTTCCAATTTTCGTTCATATTGATTTAGAGACAGGTCTACACTGGAGTCATCAGGAATAAGTAAACTCTCCACTAGACTTGATCCTTGATCTCAGTTATCTCAATTTTTGTAAGAGATATCAAAATTTTGTCAACTAACAAAATGTTGACGATGATATAATTAACAATTTAATGGTTGACAAATCTTTGATAACTCTTACCAGTCGGTTTGAGCCGCCTGCCAAGGGCTCAACCTCCTGGGTTTCGTTTACTTTATCTTACATTTGAATTCCTAATTTCAGAAATTCCCACTTTCCGTGTGTCCGAAATTTCCGAGTTTCTTTATTTTCAAAAGTTATATTTTCCCGATATCGGAATTTTTGAATACCGTACTTTCTCAAATAGATGGCCACATGTAGAATCTCTTGTTTTTTCTAGAATGTTTCTGGATTTTCTGATTACTGATTGTTAGGGTTTCTGAAATTCAGATATTTAAAAAACCCACACGCAGCCCTAATTCTAAACCTTTGGTTTCAGGTCACCTTGAAAAAATATTGAAGTGATTAAAATACCTGTATACTTATAGAGAACGCTTCTCCTTTTTTCAGGCAAAACCTTTGGATGGTACAACAATTCGGGGGTACAAAGGGGTACAAAACTCACAGTTTGGGGGTACAAAACTGAGCCTTTTTCAGTGTTTTGTACCCCCGGATTGCTGATTTTTTACCCCCTAAATTACTTTGTACCCCCTTGTACCCCCTTTTTGTACCCTCCGAATTGTTTGCCTTTTTTTCAACCTCAACAGGAGTTTACGTTGAGCATTCAAAAAACGGAATATCCTGAAAATTTCTAAAATGCTCTAGAATGTTCTGGAGTTTTCTTGTATTTTCTGGAACTTTCTAAAAATTTCTGGAACTTTCTGGGATTTTCTGGAATTTTCTAGAATTTTCTGGATCTTTCTGGAAGTTTCTGGAATTTTCGAGAATGTTCTGGAACTTCCTAGGATTTTCTGGAATTTTCTAGAATGTTCTGGAATTTTCTAAAATTTTCTGGAACTTTCTAAAATGTTCTGGAAGTTTCTAGAATTTTCTAGAATGTTCTGGAACTTCCTAGAATTTTCTGGAATTTTCTAGAATGTTCTGGATCTTTCTGGAATTTACTGGAATTTTCTGGAATGTTGTGGAACTTTCTAGGATTTTCTGGAATTTTCTAGAATGTTCTGGAATTTTCTTGTATTTTCTGGCACTTTCTAAAATGTTCTGGAATTTTCTTGTATTTTCTGGAACTTTCTGGGATTTTCTAGAATGTTTTAGATTTTTTAAGAATTTTCTGGAATTGTCTAGAATGTTCTGGAATTTTCTGGGATTTACTGGAATTTCCTAGAATGTTCTGGATCTTTCTGGAATTTTCTAGAATGTTCTAGATTTTTTTAGAATTTACTGGAATTTTCTAGAATGTTCTAGAACTTTCTGGAAGTTTCTGGAATTTCCTAGAATTCTATGGAATGTTCCGGGATTTTCGAGAATTTTCTGAAACTTCCTAGAATTTACGGAAATGTTCGTTATCTTTCTTGAATGTTTTTGGAGTTTTCTAGAATTTTCTAGAATATTGTAGAATTTTCTGGAATTTTCTAGAATGTTCTAGAATTTTCTGCATAACTTGAGAACCTTGTATTCAAAAGAAAACTACTATGACCCATTTTCAGTAGTCCACAGGATCGAAATTCAAGTGATAGACAAAAAAAACAAAATTTTCAAAATTTTCCAGTTTTGAAGATTTGTGCTCAATTTGATGCAGGCAACACATAGATAGGCCAAAAAACCGTTTTGAAAAATTTCGTGAAGTTTTATTGAGTTTGAGCATAGTTTTGAAATTTCCGATTCTCAACACTGTAGCTTCCCTGTTAGCTAGAAGGCCCAGTACACCATAGACATGAAGCGCTCGGCAATCCATGACTACATACCACACACCATATAGGAGGCTCATGCCCTTTGGAGTTATTCAAGTAAATGTCCGAGACGGACACACACACATACACACACACAGAAAAGTTTCCTTAGTAAGAAGTAGATGGGAAACGAGATAATCCAGCTCTAAGTTCAAATAGGGTGGAGTTATTTAACGAACTTATCAAATTACACCGATCATTCTGTTGACGAACTGCAGAACATAAATCTACAAGACTGATTCTCAAAATCTTATTTTGAATTTGAACACAAGCTAATTAGCTCTCACAGAACAATTTTCAGAAAAAAAATCAATTAAGAATTTGTTTTTTCTTCTTCTTGTTTTTTTTGCGCAAATTTTCTGGGAAGTCTTCCTAATGCTTTTCTATATGATAGCTAAAAATCCCCATACTGTAATTTCAAATCTAACAATACTTTCATTTTTTTTCCAATTTCTGAAATTCAGTTCCCAACAAAAAACCAAAAAGTCAATATCCCTATTTTACGCAGCCTTTTTTTTCCAAAAAAAAACCATTGTGTATCCAAAAGTTAATTAGTCACTACACTAGGATTTTCCCAAGCCATGGGAAACTCATACGTATTGTTTGTTCACCAGAAGAAAAAAACCACTATTTTTGAATTAATTTCCGTTGTTATCTATTTCATTATTATTGTAATATCTTCTGATAGAATTGAGCACGTGATAAGAGATAGAGTCATAGATAAAAATCTGAAAACCATGACAATTAGGGTTAGTTGGAATGATTCAACTTTTTCCCAAGTCATGGTTTTCTTTTTTCGTAAAACAGATAGAATTGAAAATCAGATTGCGACACATTCTCTCTAAAATTTTAATAATGCAAATATTTTGATCGGAGTCCCCTTATATACATAGTAACGTCATTCGTTCCCAAATAATAACTTCTGGAAAAACTTAACACGTATCATTAATTTTCCGATCTCAAAAAGAATTTCTTCATTTTTTTCATTTTTTTCTGCTTGCTTTCCAGACAATCAGAATTTTCTCCGTTTGAAGTCAACAAAAATGCCAGAATTCCTATTTTCTAATTTTCAGAAAAATGTCTAACTTAACATGTGGTTCTCGAATTGATATTGAGCGATTCACCAGCTACAATTTCATATTTTCTCTGATCGTTGGATCCTCTGCTGTGGTCTCGACGTATGTCTCTACTGTATTAGCTATATATGCGATTGCAAAACGCTCCATTTTCGAGATGTCCACCAAACTTCTTCTTTATCAAATTTTATTCAATGCGGTTTTATATCAAACCGCCTACCTCTATGAGGTGATTCAACTGTTCTACAAAGCCTTCTTCAAACTAGATGAACCCTGTGAGCTATTGAAAACGGAAGAGAGTTGCTTCCTGCATTTCAACGTTTTCATTATTTCAACAAGCGCGATGATTTACGGAAAAACTGGACTAATGTTGGAAAGAGCTTGTGCCACCTTCCTCAAGAGCTGCAACAAATCCATCCTCCTCAAAATTTCAATAGCTATATTCATATGCGTATTCGTACTCAGTTCCCAAACTGGTTTGATGTTGACTTGGGATGACACTTTGAATGGTTCTGCATATGCCTGTTATATGGTTCCAAAAAAGAGCGTCACCAGGGCCACAAGGTTTTTTGTAGTGTGTACAATACTAATATTAATGAACATGCTCCTTTTATGTTTAATCGTGAGACATAACAAGAGATTCCAATATGCGTAAGTTTGACTTAAACTGATTTTCATCGATTTTTCAATGTTTCAGGAATCGGTTCAGTGTCAATGAACGTTTTCACAAGCATCAAGTTATCGAATCAACCATGACAATATGTATTCTGAATGCCGTCTTGTTTGTCTTGGTACTAACTTATACAATTGGGATTGGGGTTCTTCTAAACATCAAGTCAATTCTATCACATTTCTGGTTCACCGCTATTATTTCGTGGGTATATGTAAGTGGCGAAATACCGTATTTCCTCTTATAGAAATCCGCTCAAACCGGTTACTTTCAACAGAATTATCTTACGTTCTGTGTATGATATCGAAAACTTGTCAACTAATAATTTATTTACCGTAAAGTCATCAATATTTTATCAGTTGACATATTATCCTTGTCAGAGAAAAAAAAGGTTGAGTCGAAGTGTATGCGATGTTTGTAAACAAATATCTGAAAGCGTAAACAAAAAAAAACGTAAACAAACACAGTTGAAACGAGTGCGACAGTAACCCGGCGGGAAAATATTAAATTTACTCATTTTTTAGCTTTTCGCA